CCACTTGTTCCCTCGAGATGACTTACATATTCATCCCAAGACATACTGAACAGTAAAAAACAAAAACATACCCAGTATATATATATAAATGAAAAGGTAGTACAAGCTGCAGAAATATCCTGTTACCAGTGCTCTCAAACCATAGGGCCTTCCTCCAAATAATGCAATATGCTGCAGTTTCACGCTTCTTTCATGCATGAAAGGGAATCAAATGTAGAATGGGATTATTTTAACCTCTGGTTTGCTAGTAAAACTGAATAACAGTGTCACAGAATGATGCATGTTATGTACTGAAGTTCTCACCCTGGACCAGTAGGGGGAGACTGTAGATAGTTCAGGTCCACATATGCAAATAAGGGATCGAAAGTGACGTTCAGTGAATGGATAGTTACAGAAAATGGTTACTGTTGCGTTCTAGTGGAGCTCTATATAAGCAGGCTTGCTGAACCCTTCAGTTCAGTTCTGTTCTGGCCTGCGAATAAACAAGAGCTGCTTGAAGAATCGCTGTGTCGTCTGATATGTTCACCCACAACTTAACAATGCATGTCTAAAAAGTGTGTCACTAACATGAAAAATTTGGAAAGCTCTGCTCTAGTTGTTCTTGGAGCCTCTTAGCAAGATTGAGGAGTGAAAAAATAGAGGCTTACCCCACCCCGGTCCCAATGTTTTAACACTAGGAATTAGCACTAGGAATCACTCTGAGGTGACAAGCATACCGTCCAATATTTCTCCGATGAAAACAGGGACATCCTATTCCATAATAATTTTAAAATTTATACTCTGGGTGGCTTCCAACACATATAAAAACACAACAAAACACAAAACATTTAAAAACTTCCCTATACAGGACTGCCTTCAAATGACTTGGGGGACAGATAACTCCATAGCCTCCAACATTTTTTCTGATGAAAATAGGGAAGTCCTAAGGCAAAGCGGGACATTCTGGGATAAAATCAGAAACAAGAACAGCTTCTGTAAATCTGGAACTGTCCCTGGAAAATAGGGACACTTTGAGGATCTGGACAAGTGAAGAAGAATGTGGCTAATTCTGTACAAGACCAGTATGTGGATTTAAGAGAGGATTGTGATTTCTAGTTATTGTAGCCAAGAGCACAACATTCTTAAATCTAAAAGCCTTATGGGAGCAAGTTTGTGTCACTACACCACTCTGCCCTGCTTTTTTTTTTTTTTTTGGAGGTGCTTTCTTTTAAATATTTTGTTTAAAACAAATTTCTTTTTAAAACATGGCTGTTCTCCTGTACTCCCTTCCACCTACAGATGGGATGTTAACACTGCTCTTTTCTAAAAATGCATTAAGATAAATGCAGTTGGAACATGTTTTCTATGACTGTGTAGAATTCCTCATACTGCTGCCAAATACTGAGACTTGTTAACAATGTAATGCTAGCATAGATAACTTTTAAAAATTCCTTTGACATTGCTCTCAACTAAATAAATGGAAGATTAAGGCCCTCGTTTCACATACTTCTTTTTTCCCTGCTCCCCTCTGGCACATATGTATCATAGTCAATGAAAGCAGCTGGCCATACATAATTAAGCAGTGTTCACTTGAGACATCAGCCTCTTGTTCATTTCAGTCCATCCACTGTGTGTGCCCATTGTACTACATGGCCCTTGAAAAGAGAAGGATGCTAGGGGCTATAAAAATATATATGACAAAATTGAAGACAACTTTTACAGTGTGTGGTTTAAAATACTTCCAAACCAAACAGATAACCGAAAGCAATTTAGAAATGGAAGAAGGCCAAACACACCATCTATAATGATCCACCGACTCTTATTGTTTCCCACCTAAGTGCTTTTTCTAATATTACATGTAATGCATCCCCAATAGCTGTTTCCATTGCTGCCTCTGTTTCAAACATTATTTGCTCACCCTGAAAAGTGATTGCTTTCTAAATTTCCTGGTACCTACTGCCATCTGAATTAGATTTTCAGCATCCTCTTTCTGTTTTATGTCTTCCTTGTCTGCATGACTTGGTTTTGCTTCTCTTGGTTTTATATAAGCATGTCCGTGGACCCCACTTTCCACGTTTCCACACACTTTAGAAATTATTTGCCCATTTCAGGGCATAAAATCACACAAGCGTGATGCAATAACTGAGCGCCACAGGAGTTTCAGCAACTTTCTCAAGGTCCATTCCTTCCCTAGCAAGAATAGAAAACAAGCCTAAATATAAGGTTGTTGTTTAAAATGTATTTTAAAATGGAAGATGGAAGAAAAAAAGATTTGAGAAGACTCCATATGTTTGGCAGCAAATTAAGAGAAAGTTAATCATACAACAGTTCCCGTGAAATCAATCAGGCAATTTAGTGATTTTAACTTAAATTAGAATGGATCGGGCCCTGCGTGCAAAGATAGGAGGCAGAAATTCTGCTATTTTTGTTTATCTTGCAACCTCTGCAAAATATATCTGTGTAGTGAACTGAAGAAGTGTGCATGCACACAAAAGCTCATACCAAGAACAAACTTAGTTGGTCTCTAAGGTGCCACTGGACACTCACTCTCTCTCTCTCTATATATATATAATATACACATATATATCTTCTGGCAGCACATAATGTTGAAAAAAAATCACATGAAATTCAACTCTTATGGGTTTTGCTATCAGTTTTCTGTCAATAGGACTATAACGGTGGGTTTACCTTAAGGCAGTATGGAGCCAGAGTCTTGCTCTTGACAAATGAGTATTAAGAGCTCAGAATGTCAGGTGATGTGCCCAAATGGGAGCCAATTGTTAAAATAAGAAAACCAGATCAGAGAACAGGGTAGATAAGATACTCGCCAGATAAGGATGATGCAATCCAGATCACTATATGAAAGAAACAATAAAAACCTGCAGCTTGGGGACTAGGGCTGAGAGAGAAAGAAAGAGTTTTATACCTAGAAGGAAAGCATTCTTGTGACTAGACTTTTAAAACTTTTTTTTCAACTCATTATGAACCATTTTCCAATTTTCCTTGCTACTCTACAAATCCACCACATGACAGAAAGTTCCTTGCATATCATTGCATTTCCAACAATTACCTGACTCTCACTTGTACATTTTTGCTAATTTACTTGGTGTCATATAAGTTTCCTTCAAAGCATAAAAAGTAAAGGGACCCCTGACCATTAGGCCCAGTCGTGGCCGACTCTGGGGTTGCGGCGCTCATCTCGCTTTATTGGCCGAGGGAGCCAGCGTACAGCTTCCGGGTCATGTGGCCAGCATGACTAAGCTGCTTCTGGCGAACCAGAGCAGCGCATGGAAACGCCGTTTACCTTCCCACTGGAGTGGTACCTATTTATCTACTTGCAGGTGCTTTCGAACTGCTAGGTTGGCAGGAGCAGGGACCGAGCAACGGGATTCGAACCGCCGACCTTCTGATCAGCAAGTCCTAGGCCCTGAGGTTTAACCCACAGCACCACCCGTGTTCCTCCTTCAAAGCATGTTGTTGTTGTTGTTTAGTCGTTTAGTCGTGTCCGACTCTTCTTGACCCCATGGACCAAAGCACGCCAGGCACTTCTGTCTTCCACTGCCTCCTGCAGTTTATAGCAAGCTGTAAATTTCGACCCTGTTTTCCACAGCTTTTCCCACAGGTCCATTTCTGTATTGTGACCCACATCTCTTGCCCAACAAATTATTGCTGATTTCACCATTTCATCCTTAGTTTCCTATTCCAACAATAGTTTATACATCTTAAATATTAACTTATCATTATTTTTAACAATTCCTTTGTGAAATGTGAATTTTGATCAACAAAACCATATTTTTTATCAGCTTAAATGTTTCAAACACATATGGGGTGCTGCCAAATGCGGGGTTTTCACTACAAAATGGTTACAAAACTTTGGCACCAGTTTCAAGCAGACTGGACAATGTTGGGTTTGGGGGAACCCCGTCGCCCCTGGGTTTGAGTGTGTATTGCTCCCTTTGTGGGGTGCTACAAAACATGGGGGGCCCTACAAATCACTACAAAATGATTACAAAACTTTGGCACCTGTTTCAAGGGGATCCCTGATTTTGGGGTTTGCAGGTAATAAACACTCCCTTCCTAGGTGAAACTTGCTTAAGAGGAGGGGAAAAGGCATGGGAAAAATAGATTATTATTCCCTTCCTGGTCTAATGTCTTATGAAAAAGCAAAAGGCTTTGGAGGAGGCAGAGTAATCCCATTCATGGGTGTACATAGGCAAAAGTGGGGTGGGTCATTACTTTAGGGCAGCCCTCTATTTAAAGGCATCTTCTTTCTGAGGAGCTGCCAAGCCTGGTTTAAAGATAAAGGTGGGTTTCGGGTCCCCACCAAGCATTGGTTGGACAGATTGAGAAGGCAGCACAAGGTGCTGTCTTCCTTACTAAGGTGAAATATATTTCTATTTAAATGATAGCGATTTCTCTCTCTCTAAATTTGGGTCTGAACCTAAAAACTAACCGAAAAATTATAACGGTGTCCTTTTCGGGTGTGATGTATATAAGGCCACTGTGTATTAGACACCTTTATGTTTTGCAGTTAGCTGGGGGAATATCTCATCCCTCACAAAGCAAATGGTTATTGGATTGTATACCAACTTTTACTCACGAGTGGACCCATTGGAATTAATGCACTAGGTTTGCCATGGCCATTAATTTCAACGCATCTACTCTGTATCCCAGCTAACAGGTTGGCCGGCCATCATCTGTGTCATGTATGCACGAGCTAGTTGAGATTCCTGCCTTTCAGGGGGTTGGGCTAGATGACCCTGGGGGTCCCTTTCAACTCGTATGATTCTATGGACTTTTGGATCAAGCCACCGGACGAACGCTACGGCCGCCGGTTTGAATTTGGGCGGGAAAAGCCGTTGTCGCGGGGAAGGGGGGGCGGGGTTTCCACCTTCGGAACGTCGGGATTGGGCCGAAGCACGAGCGGCGCGCGCACTCCCTGCCCAGTAACTGTGCAGCGCGAGACAAGTGATAGAAGAATGAGCGAGGGGGAGGGGAGGAAGGGCGCAGGCTTACAAAGCGAAGCGGCGCTCGGCGGCGGCAACAACACGCGTGCGCACTGCCTGCCGCATTACGTCAGCGTCAGCTGTCAGCCGCCGCCGCCGCCTCAGCGGATGGGGCAGGAGGCCGGCTGCGAGTTCCGGGGCGTGTGCATGAAGGGAGGCGGGTTCCTCGGAGGACGCTGGCCGGCTGCGAGCGAGCGAGCGAGGGAGAGCGAGAGCGAGCGACCCAGGCTGCGACCGCTATTCCCCCTCTCCCAACACTGCCGGTACGCTGAGGGACGCCGGGCGAGGCCCACCCGCCACCTGCAAGGCGCTGCTCCTCCCTCCCCGCCTCGCCCTTGGGTGAGTGTCAGCCGCGGGTGTGTTGAGATGGAGAATAAGGAGCCGGCTAAAGGGACGGGGGGGGGGGCGAAGAGGAAGGGGCCGGGTCTCTGGTTGTTGCCCCCCTCCCCATGCCCTTTCCAACATCTTCTCCCGCATTGTAAGGTTGGCGGGGCAGCGAGGGCCCTCCCTGCTCGTGGGCTGAGTCAGCGGACAGCTGGTGGTGCCTTCGCCCCATCTCTCTCTCTCCCTCTCCCCCCCCGGGGGGGGGCTTCTGATCTCTCCTCTCTCTCGTCCCCCCCGCCCATCTGCGAATCTCGTGGTTCTTCGGTGGGCGCGATTGGCTGCACGGCCGTGTGACTGACTGTGCTGGAGACGAAGATGCTGCATCACCGTCGTGACCACTAGCCTGCTCTCTCTCTCTCTCTCTCTCTCTCTCTCCCTTTTAAAGAAAAACCAGGCTTAGGAGATGCTCGTGTCGTGTCTTGGAGAGAGAGCGGGGAGGGCGGATTTAACTGCTGCGTCGGGGAGCAGATTTGCTAACCCTCGGGTTGATGGAGGGAGGGAGATGCCCGGGCTCAAATCTGCTCGGAGAAACGCCCTAGCTCTGCCCGGGAAGTCTTGTCCCTGATCTTTTTGGGGACTCCCTAGTTTATGCAGGTTGAGGGAAATTCAGTTTGTGCTTGCTCATGGTTGCCTACAGCATGTCTTCCTGGATTCAGCCCAGGCCTTGAAAAGAGATGCTGGGGAGACCTGGCAGGAGTCGAGCACTGGTCCTAACTGCAGGCCTTTCTCAATCCACCTTTGCTGGCGTGAGGCAGGAGGTGGCCTTGCGGCAGTGTTTACTGCCTACTAGTGTTCCTGTAGGGGTGTCCTTTTTATGCTAGGGTGGGGGCATGTATATGTGCGTGTGGCCAGGTAACACTTCTTCCGGCTTTAAAGGCCAGATGACATCTCCATATTGCTTAAAAACAGACAAAGGCTGCTGCTTCTGTACCTGGGCTGGTGACTGAAGGAGTGCTACTGTGTTTATCCTCATTTCAAACATACAATGACTCATTATAAGCTTGTCCCGTCAGGGAAGGTAATATTGAGTGTCTGTCTTTGTTTTCTTATGTTTCAGACTTTGAAGCTCTCTGACCTTGGGCAAATCATCACTTCTCAGCCCATTCTCTCCTACTGCTATTGTGAGGATAAAAGGCACAATGTTTGTAAAGCACTTTGCAAATGGAAAGTGATGTTGAACTAATAATTAACAGTATTTAATTTTTCCCCAAATAGTTGGAACATAAGTTCACCATTCAGTCCATTTGAGAGAATTTCTGAAACTTGAGGATAACAACATTCATGGTTACTTTTTCACACACAAATTCTTGCCACAGTCTTCTTTTCAATGGTTTTGTATGACTAGCTCCTTTTCCCTTGTCCTTCTCTGCAGTCTTGTCCCTTCTGCTTCCTGACAGCTGGTATAAGGAGAGGGGTCAGGCAGGCGTCAAACAATTCAATCTGTTTGGGAGAGACTGAGGCTGAATTCAGCTGACATGGCAATTCATGGGTTGTTTTTACATCTGAACCCATGTTTGCTCACTGACTTTGTGTTTTGGGATATAGGAACATTGTTTTAAACTGGTTTGCACTGGCAAGCTTGCCCCAGCTGTGGTTGACATTAAGGATGAGTTCACAGTGCAACAGCCTCTTGAGACTGAGCAGCAGCCATAAATGTAGTTTGTTGATGATTTGTGGAGCTGGAAGTGAATTTATGAAGATAAGCGCTAAACAGTAAATGAAAACAAATAAGCAATTCTAAACCATGGTTTGCCAGTTTTACATTTGGAAGTACAAACTGTGGTGTGGGTTATTAATTATAAGCAAAAATGTTATGCTTGGATGTATGATAGGGTTGTAGAAGGCAGTATGATTTTATCTCTATTGCCGGTCTTAAAAGGGGAGAAACCTCTCTTTGGTAATCTGGTGAGCAGTCTCTCAGGTTTCTCACAGTGGATTGACATTCAGCTGTAACCTCTAAGGGCTCATCCATACAAAAGCTTCCTGTACTCCCATTTGGCACTAGTACACAGTTGGAGTTGATTTCAACTTACTGAAACTAGAGAGGGCAGATTTTGTCCATATATAGAGAGTGTCTCTCTGTGTGTAATTGGATCTCCTCGTTTGTCTGATGTATGTATTTTAAAAATTGTTGGATAAGTAAATGATTAGAAATTATACAGGACTAACAGCCTGGTCCTCTGCAAAGTACACCAAAGTCTGTTGAAATTGGTTGGATGGGTCGCTGACTCAGCATAGATTGGGTTATAGTTCTTTAAAGGGTTTCTGATTCCTGAGATGAGAGTCTCCCTGGGTGTGGTCTGTGCAGCCAGGTTGGTACTTGAGCACTGTGTCAGAAAGCAGTGATGATAATCATTGCACAACTGTTAAAAGCAATTAAAAATACTAAATTTAATTTATTTAATGTCATGTTCAGAAGGTAACAGCATGGATAGATTTTTACTACTCACAAACAGTAGTTTCCTTAAGTTACATTATTAATGATACTGAGCTGGATTCAGCTAACCCCTGATCTGTTAGCAGGTCAGTGCAATGACTCCCACTAACGTGGCAGGACTCCCCCTCTGCTCCCCCAATTTACAGTGGAGGTCTGGGAAAGCCCCCAAAATAGCATCCAGTGGGAGGAGAGGGGAAGTTGTTCAGTTGGGCAAATATAAATACTTGTGCTGACAGAACAATCTCCTTAACATTGTGTTGAATTCCATCCACTTTGTCTTAGTGGCAAGAAGGTAGTTTCTTCATTGTTGCCCATAAGAAATGCTGTTAATGTTGCTGAGTATAGGTTTTGAAGTAGTAGTCTTCAAAACAATGTTAATCTTTAATATTTCTAGGAAAGTTAAGAATTATTTTAGAAGTGTTCTGATCCCTGCAGAAATCATTATATCTCTTAGCATAAGAAGGCATACCTCTTGTATTAGGGATATGGAAGTCTTTATTTGGTCCCTAGAAGTAAATGTTGTAGTTCAGATTGTTGTGTCTTTTCTTTAGAGGATCAAACAGAAGAAGTTACAGATGGAATCTGGGCTGTCCGTTAGCCTTTTTGAAGGCTAGCATCATTTCTATCTTTCTAATGATTTGCAGTGTCATCTGGTGCCTAGCAGTTCTTGGCAAGTTCCATCATGAGATGAGCATTCACATTTTTCAGGATGTAGTACATTAATAACATTTGTAATTCTAGGCTGTAAAATTGTAATAGCAATAGTAACCAAAAAATGAACGAAAGAAATGAAATTTAAAAAGAAAAAAGGGTTGTGTCACAAAGCAGCCTTTCTCAGCCTTGGCTCCCCAGATGTTGTTGGACCACTGGTCTTGCTAGCTATGGATGATGGGAATTGTAGTCCAACAACATCTGGAGACCCAAGGTTGAGAAAGGTTGCCTTAAAGGCTAGTGCTAGGATTCAGTCTAGCACTTGGAATCTAGTAAAAGAGAACATAATATGCAACCCAAACATTCATGAAGAACGCCATTCCCTTTCTCTCATCACCTTTTTCAGGACAAGACAGCAACTGTTTGTTGTCTTTGAGCATTCCTTATGGTGTGGACGTTAGCTGTGCCAATGCAATATGCTCCCTATTGCCCACAATCCAGATTTAGTTTCTTTGTGCTCAGTTCTGCTTCTGTGAATATGTTCAGGCAGCATGAGGAAAGCCATGTGTGTACAACTCTTGACAGGGTATTTTTGGGATATGGGCAAAAGATTCCTCACTATAAGTGTAAGGAATCTCTACAGATGGTGAGATCCTACTCTCCTTTGCTAGCTGGCCACAGTACATAATCCATATGGTTGATATCTACTTCAGAAATGTATCAGTATATATTTTATCTGAGTACCACTAGCAAAGGGTGCTGTTGAACTGATATTGAAGAGAAAATGAATGCAAATCAAGAAATACCAGGTGCTATAAGTAATAATTTTGTCAATCGTAATGAGTTCTGCATTGCTTCAAATGATTCCTAATCGAGCAGGAATTAAGGCCCATTTGGTCCAAAGCAGTGTCAAATGTAGCACTAGACAGTCCTTGTACCCAGATCTTACAATATTGCCCAGGTGTGTCAATGAGCAACATAAATGAGAAGATGGAGACAACGTGTGATGATTTTAAAAGCTGTCCTATAACACCTTAAAAGCTTTTTAAAAAAACCCTGTTGACATAATACATTTGTAACAAAAGTGAATGAGAAGTAACTGATTCTGTCTGGAAGCTTACCTGCTTGATGGTTAGTGCAGTGTTTCCCAATCTTTTTTGGGCAAAGGCACACTTGTTTCATGAAAAAAATATTGAGGCACACCACCATGCCAGATGGGGAAAGGTCACTTTTTACTTATGTAAAAAAAAATAAAAAAAATAGTAACAGCATAGAAGGTAATGGTTATCTCTTTGATGTCTGATGGGAGGGCATTCCACAGGGCGGGCGCCACTACCGAGAAGGCCCTCTGCCTGGTTCCCTGTAACCTCACTTTTCACAGTGAGGGAATTGCCAGAAGGCCCTTGGCACTGGATCCCAGTGTCTGGGCTGAATGATGGTGGCGGAGACGCTACTTCAGGTATACTGGACCGAAACCGCTTAGGGCTTTAAAGGTCAGCACCAACACTTTGAATTGTGCTCGGAAAGGTACTGGGAGCCAATGTAGGTCTTTCAAGACTGTCGTTACGTGGTCTCGGCGGCAGGTAGCAGCGCTCACAGCTTACGGACTGCACCGTGTAACAGGTGTCTGGCCCAGCAGCCTAAGGCGGACAAGCCACTGAAACAGGCATTCAGAATCCATTCATTTCATAAAACCTGCAGGGCTCAATCTCTGTGTTTGTGTATGTGTGTGTTTCTGTTTTGCCCAAGGGTCTGGGGGTGGGAGAGAGCTCTTTAGCATGATGCTTTTAAAACAATTAAATTATCAACAAACAAACCTGATGATACGAATAGCAACGTCAGGTGCTACCGGGGGGGGGGGGGGGAGAAGGGGGCCTACTCGGAAGTAAATACTGCGTCCAGGCGCAATTAGCGCTGATTTAAGGTGCACCAAGACTGCCTAAAAACCTCACCAAAGATATGCAACAAAGCGCTTCGTTGCAGAGGGGAGAGTTTGTGCACCGTGGAGGCTGGAGGGCTTCTATTCTACATGCGGGGGTTGGGGGGGCGAGGAAAATGTGCTCCGTGGGGGGGCGGGGAAGGCAAGAAAAGGAGCTGAGCTCTAACTATAGGCTCCCACGCTTGAGCACGCCCGACTCGGTGGGGCGGACCACCCTCTCTCCTGGAGGAGGAGGAGGAAGAGGAGGAGGAGATTCCCATCCACGGCGTGGCCTCCCGCGCTCCTGAACGGGAAATCTCTGCAGCCCAAGACTCTCCGTGAGGCAGCTCCTCCCTTCCTGCCTTGAGCCGCCGCCAGCCGCGCCCCCCTCCCCAGTTATCTGCTGCCTGCCAAGCCCCGCCCCTCTTCATTGTCCTCCCCTTCTGTTTATTCCCCTTCCTCCATCCCTCGCTTTTCCCCCTCTCTTTCCTTTTTTAAAAAAAATATTTTCTCTTCCCCTTCTTTTTTTCCACCCTTTCTTTTTTCTCTTTCTCCCCCCCCCCCGCCCTCCTGGGTTAAAGGATTTGAGCAATGGGTCTGGAGGTGGAGCTCGTCGGAGGATTAGCCCGACTCGCCCGCCTCCCTCCCACGGCACACTAGGCAACGTCCGGCGGCACACTAGTGTGCCGCGGAACACCGGTTGGGAAACACTGGGTTAGTGACTGAGTGTCTCAATTTTCTGAACATAATATGATTAACCTGTTCAGTTCAGGGTTACATTTGGAAAAATGCTAATATAAAACATTACAAACCATTGGGTTCTTGGCTGTTGTTCTGATGAACCCTTCATATATATTTAAGTGCTTATGTATCTCCCAAATTTGAAATATTAAAATCCAAGACTGTCTTCAAAGGACATAGGAGAAACAATTCTGGGAAAAGGGTGTTTCAAGTCAGGGTGCCACTGTGAAAAATGCCCTGTTGTATGTCCTGAGCTATGATTTTTAGTGGGGAGCCAAAAGCAGAACCCCCTGCTTTTTGTTGATTGAGTTGTTTTGTATCAAGGAGGTGCTCCAGCAGATATTTAGACTCCAAGTCGTTAAGGCCTAGCAGCCCACAGGCAGCTATTACAATGATTTTAAGAGCATTGTTCTATGCTCCCATCTTACTTTCCCAGTTAATAACCAAGCAGCAGCATTCTACGCTTGCTACAGCTTCTGGACCATTTTCATGGTCAACCCCTAGAGTTGCAGTAATCTAAATATGAGGTCACCAGAGTATATGGCACTCATGCCAAACCATCAGTTCAGGAACAGCTTTAGCTGCTGAGTGAGCCACATCTGGAAATAGGTACTCCAAGGCCCCCTGAGCCCCCATTGACAACATGGGGTTAAGGTGTGCCCCAAAGGTACATACATGCCACTACAGGAGGAGTACTACCTCATCCAGAACAAGCTGTTTCACCAAGTCCTGGAATTGAGCTGCCTGGCCACACTACCACCATCTTATCAGCATTCAGTCTATAAACTTAGGCAAACAAACAATGTACAAAAGTTAAGGGCTACTCTGCTCTTGTGAATGCCAGTGAAAGTTGTAAAATCACTTTCTCACAGGCTTATTGGTAGTTCCTGTATAATGGTGGGGGACAACTCCCAATGTCTATAAACATAGAGCATGATCCAACTAAAGTTAAATGGATTTATGCCTGCTGCTGGAGGATTTCAGCAGTTGCCAGACTCTCCCATCTAAATTAACAGTATCTAAAGATGCTAAATATTGGCCAGATTGTTTTATCCAAAATGTTTAGTAGACATAGTTGGTTCAGTTGTATTCAATAAACCTAACCTATTGAATTTGGTCAGTGAAGGTGCTGGTTAATTCATATTTTTTAATAATTCCAATCTTACACTGCTAGATTCAGTATAAATTTATAAAGATTCCCTGCCTGGTCAACTGTTGTTCTTCATCACAGATGTTGACTGTTTTTGTTGATGATCATCGGAGATCACCAAGCAAGTGGATGTTTACATGTGTCAGATTATAAGTGCTAGGATTCAGTAGTCCATTAAAAAAAAGGAAGTGTTCTGTCTCTGGGTTGCATTCTAGCAAAGACTAATTGGGTTTAGCTAATGCTGGAACACTTTTCCCCATCTCATAATTAAACTTACCGTGCAGGCGTCAGCAGCAAACAATATTGTAGTTATTGTACCCGACTTGATTACAGAATGCTGCAAACATTATTTAGTTTTTCTTTGTGTTTCTCCTTAGCAAAGGATTGTGGAATAGCCAATAGACTTGTTTCCTATGTTCCATTGTAAAATATGTATCAGTAACACATTACACACTGTAATATATTGATCTCAGAATTACATATGCCTCATAGCACAAAAATAATGATTCACTTTTTAAAAACAATCTATTCCCCCTCTATGTTCAAGTATGTTATCAGAGTGCTTTAACAATGGAAACACTACTACTTGAATAAGCACAAGAGAGAGTACATTAGTGAAGGATAGGGGTGTTAAAGCTTCACTTAATTATTGTTTGTTTCTTTATCAATCAAAATAAAAACAAACAGACATAAAACTTAGCCAGATTATATTTGTATGGGACCAACTTCCCAGGCAATCATAATAGTGATTTTTAATTTAGATGGTTAATTTTGGTCAACAGCGTATTTGGAATTATTTACACACCTGGTGGCTAAGGGTGAGTAAACATTCCATTCTGATAAGTTTGAAAGATCTCCAAGTGCTGGCTCTGGTATGGTGACTGCATCTTTCCTTCCCAAACTATATTTGAGGTGCACCCAGCATAGGTAACTGACTGTGGCAGGATGGAGAAAGAGTTACTGTCTTGCTGATTGGAAGAGATGAATGTACCTTGCCTATATCAGTTTTTACAGTGCTACATTGAAAATATGGCTTTTTCATGTGACCTACATTTCTCATGAAGGAATGTAGGTCATAACTAGCTGGAAACTAGAGTACATACATTGGATGGCAATTGATTTGACTGTTCAGTTGTTACTGTAAGCTATTTGTAAACCATAGCCTTCTTTAATATTTAGATTTTTAAAGTATAATGGAATGCATAAAGCAATGCATCAAGGTTATTGGATACCTATTATCTGCTTTGGTTATAAATGTTTTCCTGTGGCAGTTGATTTTTGTACACTTGCTATAAGAGCTTATGATCAAAGCTGATAAGGATTTATAGAGCTTTGGATGACCCATTTCTACTTCAAAAATTACTTACTAATCTAAGTGAAATGAAGTCAAAGGTAGCAAGTTACCAGTATAAGGAGTTTCTACTTATTAGATTTGAAGGATAGCATTTAGCTGTTTCAGATGCAAAAAATGCTGGCAGTGCCTCAAGCATGGAGCAGCCCAAGCTACTTGCTAGGGCAGTTTTATTTTATTATACTTGATGTATGTGTAATTTTGGTACACACAACAGTAATTATGTTACCATTCATAGTAAGCCCTGAGCTCTTGTGTACACAAATAAAAAAGTGTAGAATTCAAAGTCCAAAAGTGAAATTTTATGCGTGCATGTTAACATGATTGGAATTCTTAAGAATAAAATTCTTCCATTTTGTTGTCTCCTTAGTTTTGCAATTACAAACAGTAGTTAAAAACTTATCAAGTATGGTACCCAAGCTTCTCATGACATGCTCACTGAAAACCTATAGTATTTTACCCATTTGCGTACACAGTAAAAACATTATACCTTAAAAAGATTCCTTAACCAGGGCTGCCTTCAGATGTCTCCTGAAGGTTATTACCCATCTCATTGACCATTGATGGGAGGCCATTCAACAGGGTGGGTGCCACAGTTCCTTCCACAGTTTCAAGCCATTTTCAATACCGGTATATGGAATTAATACTTTACAAGAATATTGGTAGATTAGATGAGTGTTCCCACCATGTTCTGGGCTAGTATTCACAGGAATGCCTTTATTCTCTTTCAAATGGAACAGCTGATCCTGCACAATGTTTGGCTTCCATTTAATGAAAGTGTTTCTATCTTTCCGCCTGTGCTCTCAACAGCTTAGATATTGTGTGGATAAATTGTAACTGTTGCTGTGGAGTTCTTGGAAATACAAAATATAATCTTGAGATAACAGCTACATGCATCAGTGTGGACTCTTGAGCAGGTAGCAGTGCTTACTTGGTGACAACACTTGATATTAAAAGTGTATTGAGGTGACATTTAGAAAGATTTCGTAGTCAATGATTTGTATTGGCAGCAGCCCACAGGATGACTTCTGAAGAAGTTGGATATATGATGCATTTTGATGAAACCTCCCATGTTTACTTCAGATTTATCCCCAGATCATCACCCTTTGCCAACTTTATTATATCCATGAACTAATTCCTACATCTGTCTTCTCCCCTTTTCTAGCGTAACTTTGGTAAAATTGCATTTGGCAGATTTACAAGGGTCTCTTTCTGAAATACTTGTTCCTGTGTAAGAAGATTCTATTCATTGTAAATGTATTTGAGTCGTTTCAGTAAACAGATAGTTGCTCCTTTAAGGATGTCAGGTCAGTTTTATATAATACACTGTGTATACACTCTATAATCAAGGTTGTGCAGTTAACATTTTCATCTTTTTCTCTTTCCTTCTCTTTCTAGAGTCAAGTAATGTTAAAGGACAATATCTCATGGAAGGGCTATAGCTAATGGAAGAGAAAAGTCATATCAGGACATCATTGGTTTCCAGGTTACCAAAGTATGGAACAAAACCTGCTGGAAATATGCTACAGACCATCCCAAATGGGACAGCTGTTAATTTATCAGGGAATACTCGGAGCGTTGACAAAAAGTTTGGCAAGCACAATGGCACTATTCGTATGTCTTCCTTCTCTTTTAACTGGCGAAAATCAAATAAATACCAACTGGGTGATCAGGTCAGCAGTGAATCTGACTCTAGTCATAATTCCAATGAAAGGCTGACAGATTCTGAAAAGTGCCCTCAGTCTGAAGGAGCAGTTGGTAAAGAAGTGCTCAGGGTGGGTTCAAGCAACACCTTGTCAAAACTAGCTAAGCAAAACAGCATGTTTGTGTCACCTACCGAAGAATTAAACCAAAAGGCTTTGCCTGGGCTGTCTAGTTCTGCTAAGTACAGTAAAAGTTCCTTGTTAGGCAGAACTTCATTTTCTGGACTTCATGCTCCAAAATCACACTTGAATGGAATTTGTGGGAACCGTTCAACTATAGGCTTGCAGAGGAATAGAGGTAATTCTACTGCCACCAGGAGCAGCTCAGGGGAGAGTCTGGCAAAATTGACTGACAATGATAAATCTTGTGAAAAAATGGTTAGGTCACAAAGCTTTTCACATTCCATTCAAAGCTCTATCTTGCCCCCTGCAACCCTAACTAGGTCACACTCTTTTAACAGAGCTGTGGATCTTACAAGGCCTTATCAAAACCAACACTTAACTATTAGAGCATCTCAGAGGTCAAATCTATTATCAAGAAGTGCACGGCAGTTGGATATGCCCAATGGCAACGAACCATTAAGATATGGGTTTTCTAGATCATATGCTGCTTTAGCTCCCCCTGGTTTGAAAAAACAACCACTATCCAATGGCTCTGGGGATGCACCTTCTCTCAGATTTAGAACAGCCCGTCCATCTTTATTGAAGCCTAGCAACCAACATTTGGGGAGAAAGATCCCTGTGGATGGCAGCACAAGTAAAGATACCGAAAACTGCACAGAGGAGGACTTGATTTCAACAAATAGCAGTGGAGGAGTTGATGCAAAAGGAATGCCAAACAGTGAAAGAACTGAAGATGGAGAAACTGTACATAATAATGTAGATAAAATTATTAGCATGGATGGCGATGTTGATGAAATATCTATATCTTCCTTGTCCTCTTCTGAGAAAAATGATCTGAGCGAAGACTTTAGTGATGACTTCATAGATCTAGAAGATCCCAACCGACCAATAACAATTCAAGAAGAAGTGGTTTCTGTTCAAGAGCTGGAGCATGGCAATGGAATACCGCTAGATCAGATTTTGTCTCTTAAGAAAAGTGAAAGATCCAACTGTAATTCTGATGAATGGCTGAATATACGTGTGTCTGGTAAATATATGTTATGTTTTTTCTTTGAAAATGGGAACCCAAGCTCTTACAGTATTGCCACTACTATTTTGTCACCTAATAGTGTTTTTTGGTTAGATTATAAATAACAAATATGTGAAGAAGTCTACCAATAGTTTTTATTGATTGTTCAAAATTTTATTAGTTTTTCTATGTATGTTTAAAGAGTAGGATACATGCACAGCCAGTTTTAGAGGAAAAAACAAGTTATTTCTTGGACTTAGGTGCTCTGGAGGAAGTTTTACCCAGTGTGTTTTGTCCACAAATACATTATTAACTAGTTCTATATACAATGACACTAAGAAACTTGGCTCTATTACAAAACTATTTTTAATTGTACTAATGGTACTACCAAGCAGCTACTGTATTTTTCGCCCTATAGGGTGCACCGGCCCATAGGGCGCACCTAGTTTTTTTTTTGGGGGGGGAATAAAGAAAAAAAAATTATTTCCCCCCCAGGCTGGGCTTCCCCCGACCCCAGCCCCCAGAACAGGCTGCTATCTGCAAGCCTGGGGAGACTGGCGGGAAGTCGCACCGGGATCCCAAGGCTTGCGGATATCTGCCCGAAGCCCGGGGCGCGCTCCCTGGGTTTCAGGCTGTAGGCTGCTGTCCGCAAGCCTTGGGAGCCCGGTGGGAAGTTGCGTGGGGCTCCCAAGGCTTGCAGATAGCTTCCTGAAGCCTGCATTCGCCCCATAGGACCCACACACATTTCCCCTTCATTTTTGGAGGGGAAAAGGTGCGTCCTATAGGGCAAAAAATACAGTAATTTGTACATCTCCTCAAACAAGGTAACTATGAAGCTGTTCTACCATTGATTGCTATTCATCTTCCTGGATTCTTAGTGGCAGCATGCTGGTGGACAGTGTGCAGATGCAAATTCTGCGTTAAAATAATGTGCCTGATCTAGCCAAATTTGACCATAGTTTTAAGTCCTCTTTAATTTGATGGAAGAGTAAAAAGCAAATGCCTAGCTTGTACCTACTGAAGTCTATGGAGTTTATTAGTGCTTTAAACTGTGACATAGTGCTTAGTACTTTATAAGAAGCAGTTTAGGTGCAACAGTCTAATATTTGTGGCAGAAGAAACTATGGCAAGCTATCATTGTTATTTATTTATTTATTTATTTGATTTATATACCACCATTTATCAGTTATGTCTGTTCTGGAAGGGCTAATTTTAGAAAGTTAAAGTCTCGCCTCATGTTCTCTTAGCCATGTTTTGCACCAAAAGAAAAATAGTTTATACTATAAAACACTGTCAAACTATGAGTTGAGCTGTGATCCTAAGCATGTGCACATAGAAGTAAGTTAATATCAGTAGGTTTGGGTATATTTGCTTTATAAATTGAACAATTTCTTAGAAAGTGTTGACAGATGGAATGCTTGTAGTTATGATCAGAATATAAGAGGTAATCTGTATCTTTATTCCAACAACAGCAAGGGTCAAGATTCAAGGACAGAGTCCTGTTTCTTCTCTTTGGTTGAAATTTGAAAAGGGGAGACTTCTGCTTACTCCAGTGGAACATATAAAATGTTTGCAACATGAGGTTCCATCTAGTTTGAGAGGAGGTTCTGAACAACAGAACAGTATTTGCTAATCTGCCAATTCTTACTGGAACTCATGAATAGGTCCACTTTCTCAGCATCCAATGTTAATATTGTGTTTTAATTGTTGTAACCCATCCTGAAATATTGGGGTGAAGGTTAATGAAAATAAAAATAGTAATCATTAATAATATCAACAGGAAATAACTATGTAGCTAAGTTAAGTTACAAAGTATTGTGAGCTTGCCATTCTTGAATATGTTTGCAACATTGCTGGCCAACCTGCTTTACAAAACTCTTAAACTATTTGCATTAGAATATTTACTTTTTAGAAATAGTACAGAGAGAGAAGGCATGTGGGTGGCGCTGTGGTCTAAACCGTAGAGCCTAGGGCTTGCTGATCAGAAGGTCGGCGGTTCGAATCCCCTCAATGGGGTGAGCTCCCGTTGCTCGGTCCCTGCTCCTGCGAACCTAGCAGTTCGAAAGCACATCAAAGTGCAAGTAAATAAATAGGTACTGCTCCGGCGGGAAGATAAACAGTGTTTTCATGTGCTGCTCTGGTTCACTAGAAGCGGCTTAGTCATTCTGGCCACATGATCCGGAAGCTGTATGCTGGCTCCCTCAGCCAGTAAAGCGAGATGAGCACTGCAACCCCAGAGTTGTCCGCGACTGGACCTAACGGTAAGGGGTCCCTTTACCTTTACCTTTACCTTTACAGAGAGAGAAACTGAGGCGACTTTTGATAACTGCATGTAGGTAATGCAGCATGTAAATTGCAAATTTTGAGAGTTTGTGTATAATGTTAACTTCTTTCTTTTGCTTTTATTTAAATAGTAGATGACAAGAGTGAAAGTGCAAAACATCCTGCTGGGAGCAATGTGATTTCCTCTGACATGGACTACAGAGCTGGCTCTTCCTTTGAGCTTTCTCCATCTGATAGCTCCGATGGAACCTATATGTGGGATGAAGAAGGGTTGGAGCCCATTGGAAGTGTCCATCCATGTGGAAGTTATGATTCTTCAGAAATGAATAGTATAGTAAGTATAACTTGTTTATTATTATTGGGATAGTATTCAAAAGCAGTTAACTTTCTGCAAGGCTCACAATAGCCTAGTTCACCTGCAACCTTAAAACAGTCTTGTTTTAAGACTATAATTTAACAAAGATGAATGCTTTGCTGCTCCCCTGTTCCTAGTTTGACATTATGCACAACCTGAGCTTGTTCTGATTTGATAGACCTTGGTTTCTGCTCTTCATTTGGGTTTGCACATGATGAACCAAGCTTTGGCTTGTTTAGTCTCCCAGTGACACAAGGGGTAAAATGCTTGTGTTTATTTAATTAAACTTAAAGGGAGTATGGCATCCTTTGTAAATAGGCAACACACTTCTGATGCAGGTGAAATGAGACCATTGCAATATTTTGTATTATGCTCAAACGCCAAGTCTTCCAATATCACATTTATCACAATTCCAATATCACAATTATATGTGAGGACAGTGACTTTTTTCTTTTTGCCGACTATCTGCTTTAAATCATGAAATGATGTAGAAACAAGTTCTTGCTTGCAATTTGATACAGTAAGCCTGCAACTTGTGTGCTTTTAACAAATGTGCATTCGGCTTTATGGGTGTGTCAGGTTTGTTTTTGGTTTTTTTTAAAAGGTGGTTGGGGTTCCTGGAAAAATGACTTTGGTAATCCCACCCTCCCTTGAAACCAATGTTTTAACTACATGCAATTTTGGCTTTAGGCAAAATCCCTGGAATGTAACCCCCATGTAAATCGCAGGCTTACCTTGCTGAAATTCAGTTTTTAAAGTCATAACCAATAGAACAGTAGCATGTTAATTTAAAATCTGGAATTGTAGATTGGAAATAATTGGAATCAGAGCTGCAGGTTTTCATTATTATTACTATATATTTATACCTCATCTTTTCCCCTGGTAGGCCTTGATAGTTTAGTCACCTGAAGTATGTACTCATAAATATAGCAAAGTAATATATGATGCAGAGGATATATTGTATCTTCATGAATGGTTGTCTGCATTTAACAAACTCTTTAACTAGTGTCCTCATTTACATGAAAATGAAACAGAAATAAAAGCTTTGAGTCAGAACTGGTACTGTAGAATTATTTCCATTAAGAAACACTTGCCACAGTAGCAGTTGCTACTGTTGTTGGGATAGGTAGAATGTGGCATTGGGTTTAGAATTGAGGAAGAATAAACTTTTTAAATAGCCCTTATTGCTGCAAGGATATGCTGAAATATGTGTGGGCAATGCCAGCTGATATTTCAGAAGCTGAAGAAATGCTAAAATTTCCCATGCCTGGAGGTGGGCTTCAAAGTCTAGAGAGCAGAATGGCTTTACATAATCCAGAAAATGTGCTTTTGTTCAGTTTGGATAACTTACATAGGGTGCTGAATTTGGATTGCCTAAGTTGAGAATTGTAATTTAGTGAAAAAGTAAATGCAACTCTGAATAGCTCTTCTAAAGCAGTGTTCTGAGATCCTGCTGTGAAAAATTGCACAACTTCCAATTGCTTCCTGCATTTGCTTTTTAGTGGTTATCTCCTTGCATTCTGTGGTTACAGCTGCTGCATAAGGCACTGCGCTTGTTTCCTCTTACCGCAGGAGAGCTTCTAGCTGCAATTGAATGATCTGCTTGAAGTTGCAGATGGGCTGCATTGTAGCTGCCTTTGGCTATTCATCAAAGAAAGTATTTAAAACAAAACTGGCAAAGATGATACCTGGTGAAAAGTGAAAAATTTCTTGCAACTTTAATATAATTCATTTCACTAAGCCACATTGTTAAACTCTGATTTAGTTTACTTATAAAGACTGCTGGATGTGTTGCCTGTATAAATTCTTTTTATTTTTTCAGAGGGACAAATTCTGGATAAAGATCTTTCAAATATAATGATGTAGGGGAAAAATATTCTGTACTTGAAGACAGACAAAAAGAAATTAATTTTCTCTATAAATCCCCCTGTTCTTTTAGCAGTGCTTTCACTTTTTCTTTTCTAAGAGTCTGTCTCCCAGTCTGTTTTGCTGCTGCTGCTTTACTTAAAGAAATCTGAAATCATCTTTATATTTTTAGCACTATAAATATATGTGTAACCTGCTCTGAACTCTGAAGATCAGGCAGGAGAGAAATTCAGATAAATGTACCTTCAAGATTTGTTTGATAGTCATTATGCCTAAAATATATTTCAATTTGAAAGTATATATTGAAATTCTTGAGTCTAGCAAGATTAGTTTGGTTTCCCAGGCAACTGGAGGTCTTTATTTGGCTAACCACAACTACATTTCTGTAAGGCTGAGTAAAATTCCTAGAGCTCTTGTTCAGCTGAAACTCCCTCTTGTAGAGATCAAAGAGAATAAATCTATTGCTTAAGTATTTATCTCCTTCGAGAGTATCTTTTTCTTTTTGTGAAACCTGTAGATTTTTGTAGTAAAACCACAATCACTGACTCTTGTTCATAGTATGAAATATAAATGGGTTTGGAAGGGGTTACAGTTTGAGTTGGAAGTTTCATGTAAGAAGCAATAGCCTATGTAATGTTACCTGAAGCTGTGCTTAGTTGTCTGATGCTTGTAAATATCTGTAATCAAAATGTGTTAAACTGCTTGAAAAAATGCAAGCATTTAATCATAGATTTGGAACGGATCATGGAGTTCATTTAGTCCAACCTCTTGCCCCGTGCAGGATCTTCAGTACAGCTATTGCACCCCTGATAGACGGTTGTCCAGCCTTTGCTTAAATATCTTCATTAAAGTAGAGCCCACCCCCTCCTGAGGTAGCTCTTACATTGTCAAACAGCTCTTACTGTTAGGAAGTTTCTCTAATGGTCCTGTTTACACTCTGGTGCTGCTTGCCACCTCCCCAAAGGCAACAGGTTGGCCACTAGGAGAAGGAGATGCTGGACTAGGTGGGCCTTCGGCCTGATCAAGCAAGGCTCTTTTTACATTATTTAGCTGAAACCTGGTTTCCATTTCCACATCTTAGTTCTAGTCTTGTCCTAGAGAGTAACAGAGAGCTAGCCTGCTCTACCTTCTGCATGACAATATCACCATCCTGTTTCTCGCCAGCTAAACATATCCAGCTGTTCCTCATGTGATTTAGTTTCTAGATTCTTCACCATCCTGGTCACCTTCCTCTGGACATGCTGCCGGTTGTCAGTGTCCTCCTTAAAAGGCAGTGTCCAGAGCTGAGCATAGTACTTCAGATCTGGTCTGCTTAGCATCGAATAGTGTGTGTTTCTGTCAATGCTGCCGGAGATTGCATTTGTTATTTTACCAACCTCTTTGAACTGCTAGTTCAGCTTTATCTTGTGACTAATTTAGACAAATCTTTTCGAAGTACTGTTGCAAAGCTAGGTTTATTCCCTCCCTATATTTGTGTATTTGATTCTTGGTACCTAAATGCAGGATTTTATTTTTATCTCTGCTGAATTTTTATCATGTTGGTTTGGGTCCATTGTTCCAACCAAGATAATGCAAGCTGCATATTTGATAAGCTTCCCCTCTACTTTGACCAAGTCATTTGTAAAAATGTTAAACAGCATAGGGCCTAAGGCAGAGCCCTATGCCATTCCAATGAAAGCCTTCCTTGAGCTTGACAAAGTCATTAATGAGCACCCACAGGGTACAGTTGTTCAACCAGCTGTGGATCTACCCATGACTTAGATAATCTAACCCATATTTTACCAGCCTGTCAACAAGGATATTGTGCAAATTTTGTAATGGTGGTAGCTGTTTAGAGTACATTAGTCATTTTATGAGATAGTAGCTCTCTCCAATTGAAGAATCCCTTAAAAATAAACATATAATCTAACTCTCTCTGTAAAGTTGGTTGAATTCTCTTTGGTGCTGAATATCTAGTGCACTTCTTGGTAACTTCATGAATGGAGGCTAGATGGCAGTATAAGAGCATAAGCTGATGGTTTAAACATCCTTCAAATCATGTCAGGTGGACAGCTTTCATGGTGCCTCCTTTATTCTTTATGTAATTGAATATAAAAATACAGTATTAAATGCAAATATCTGCAGCTGTAAATGTATCTACTTTCATTTGCCATAGTGAAAGTGTCTATGCTATACATATCTAATTATTTGCACAGAAGTTACCATGTTTGCCATAGCTTTCCAATGAGTAAAATACTGAAAAACTTACCAGGTACAAAGTAGTATCATTAGTATGGTGTTAGTTCCACTTAAATGACCCTGCCTATATTTTATATCTGGTGATAGTAGCTATTTGCGGCTATTGCACTATTTTAAAGGTGTCATTATTTTATTTATTTATTTATTTAAAACCATTCTACCCTGCCAGCCCACTGAAAGGACTTCACTAATTTAGTTTTGCTTTTTATACCATGAAATTTAATCATGTAAATTTATTATGTGTTCTTTGCTTGACTTTGTGAATTTACATATTTAAATATTTGCTCTGCATATTTTGCTCTCATTGTATATAACAAATTGCATTTTCAGTACCTTTGTTTTCCATTTAATTTTAGAAGTAGAGAATACTTCCCATAATGCAAATTTTAATACTTCTATATTAGCAGATTATTAAGTGTTTTGTAATAAGCTGCTAGACTTTGCATAAGCAAATGTATTGGTAGTATTAATATTTTTTAAAATGCTGCTCAAAGGAACTTAAAATTTAATATTTCCTTTCTGTGATCTTGCTGTGAAGCAAGTTTTGGTTTTGCTGATGTCCTAAACTAGATCATGTTCATGTTTCTGTTCCCAGCTTTCTGGGTTCAATTCAGCTAAGGTTTTGAATAGGTGGAGCAAGGTTTGCTAATGCAATGGGACTTTCTCCCCTCTCCCTGTGTGCTCCTTACACTCCCTAAAACTCTTCTGCCCCCCCCCCCATTTGGTGGTGTGGGGTTACACAGGGGGTGGAAAGGAAGTCCTGTTGTACAAGCAGACTTCATTTTGCTCTTACATACCCCCCTTAACACTTTCTGGATCTAGACACATCAAATAAGTATTTCAGTTTAAAGCGTTGTAAATTTGAACAGGGAAAACAGGTAGAGAAAAATGGGACACTACATTGCCATCTGGTGGCACCATGTTATATCACATATGCAACACATATAAATTGCTTTTTCTTTACCAGTCTAGCTGAGTCCACTATATTGAACTCCACCTTATGTATCTAGTGTGTGTGTATATACGTATGTGCTGTATTGATTTTACCCACCAGCAAGGAAATGGTACACACTCAGTACCACATAACACAGATTAGTATGCCTTAACTGTTAGGAGGGCATACTTGTGGTCTTTTATTTCATAATATAAGATGTATCTTTGAACCATAGTAATTCTAGTCTCTTGTTTTTAAAGAAAATACCAAGCAAGATCTAAAGTCTGCCTGTCCCTGCCTTACAGGATGTTATCAAACTATAGTTGTATTCCTGGTACAGTGGTGCCTCGCAAGACGAAATTAATTCGTTCCACAAGTTTTTTCTTCTTGCGAGTTTTTCGTCTTGCGATGCACGGTTTCCCATAGGAATGCATTGAAAATCAATTAATGCGTTCCTATGGAAACCGACTTCGGACCAGGTCCGGGGACAGTCTGTCCCCCGACCTCTTCTGAAGGCTGGGGGGGGGACAAGGGCTTTTCTTCCCACCCCCCCAGCATTTAAAAAAACCCGGGACAGCGGAGGACTTCTCCGCTGTCCGGGGTGATTTAAAAGCCCCTGGGAAGGCAGGCAGGGGGGAGCAAAGACTTTCGCCCCCCGCCCGCCTTCAGAAGAGGTCCTGGACCTCTTCTGAAGGCGGGCGGGGGGCGAAAGTCTTTGCTCCCCCCGCCTGCCTTCAAAAGCCGTCGGGGACAGGAAAGCCAGGAGAAGCCGTGCAGCCCTTTTAAAGTGCGCGCGGCTTCTGCCGGTTTTGCGGGAGGTGGGGGAATTCCCCCACCTCCCAGAAAAGCCAGAAAAGCCCTGCGCAGTGTCTCCCGGCAAGGAGAGGCTGCACGGGGCTAAAGGGGAAGGCAAAACAGCGAGCGGGATCCATCCCGCTCGCTGCCTTGCCTTCTTCCATAGCTGCGCGCAACCCCTCCGCAAGGAGAGGCTGCGCGGGGCTAAAGGGGAAGGCAAAACAGCGAGCGGGATCCATCCCGCTCGCTGCCTTGCCTTCTTCCATAGCTGCGCGCAACCCCTCCGCAAGGAGAGGCTGCGCGGGGCTAAAGGGGAAGGCAAAACAGTGAGCGGGATCCATCCCGCTCGCTGCCTTGCCTTCTTCCATAGCTGCGCGCAACCCCTCCGCAAGGAGAGGCTGCGCGGGGCTAAAGGGGAAGGCAAAACAGCGAGCGGGATCCATCCCGCTCGCTGCCTTGCCTTCTTCCATAGCTGCGCGCAACCCCTCAGCAAGGAGAGGCTGCACGTTTCTCCGCTCTCCCGGGAAGGCAGGCAGGGGGGAGCAAAGACTTACGCCCCCCGCCTGCCTTCAGAAGACCTCCAGGACCTCTTCTGAAGGCGGGAGGGGGGCAAAAGTCTTTGCTCCCCCCGCCTGCCTTCAAAAGCCGTCTGGGACAGTGGAGAATCGCGTTGCCCGGGGCGATTTTAAACCCGCTGTCCCGGGTTTTTTTAAATGCTGCTGGGCGGCAGCGCTGCCACCCGGCAGCATTTTAAAATCGCCCCGGACAGCGGAGAAGTCCCCCGCTGTCCCGGGGTTTTTAAAAAACCTCTCCGCCCCCCGCCAGGCTTCGGAGCAGCCTTCCGAAGCCTGGCGGCGGGAGGAGGTCCGAGGACAGTGGGGAAGACGCGCTGCGCTTCCCCGCTGTCCCGGAGATTTCCCTATGGGCTTTCGTCTTGCGAAGGAAGCCCATAGGGAAATTCGTTTTGCGAAGCGCCTCCAAAACGGAAAACCCTTTCATCTAGCGGGTTTTCCGTCTTGCGAGGCGTTCGTCTTGCGGGGTACCACTGTATATTTTTGTGCATTTCAGGAAATGGGTGTGCTATGAACTAAGTATATCCCTTAGTAGTGGTAGTAAATGTGCATTTTAAGTCAGTAATGCTAGTGCTTTTTTTTTTTTAAGATAATCTATGAGCATGTTTGTCATCTCAGTCTGTTCATTAAACCTGGGCCTTAGGTATTATAATACGTAAAACAAAGACAGCATTGTAAGTGTTGTTTTCCATTCTTCTCATAGACAGTATACACAGGATGGCTGTCCTCATTTTTCTTTTTTTTTTAATCTTCTCTAGTATATGGTATGTATGCATTCATTCTCGGATTTGGTTTTAAGGAGCTTGATTATATTACTCCGAAACAGAGATGCTAACGAACGTTGTTTAATCTTCTAGATTATCTATATTTTCATTTTGAATGTGGGACTGCTTTCCAGATTTTTTTCAGAGTAATGGTGTTGGTTTGTTGCTGTTCAAAACCAAAACTTGTTTACCAGTAAGACACTTGTCTGCATTTTGTTTCCAAACTTACCAAAGCTTTGTGATTGCCTTTGGCAACAAAATAAAATAGAGAGTTGTAGAAGGCACGCCCTGCCACGCTGAGCAAATATGAGCCTATAAAGAGAAATGTGGGAGGAATCAAAGTAGATGAGAACCCTAGGAATGAGTAATACTGCTGCAGTTGGCACTGACCTATATGTTTAAATCTTACAAGCTAGTGAAAAGTAACCATATTGATAGAAACCATCTCAGTTCACACACTCCATGCAGAACTAGTATAAACACGTAGAGATGGAGGTTGAGGTTTCAGTACACATTCTGTGGGCAGAAGCCAGTGGAAAGTTCTCCTTCACAAGTGTTTTTGAAAAGAACCAGGGAAGCTTTGCAAAACCATGCCTTTAATTTTAATTCCATGTGTGCTAGAGACATACCATTTTATCCGTATGTTCTAAACGTGTAGAATTTTTTTTGAACTTCATGCACTCATTCTTGTAGGATGGGTGGGGAGAGTAAAAGGTTTCTTGAAGAAATGGAATCACATTCTAGTGCAGAGGATAGAAATCTAATGAGTTCTTTTAATTTGTTTTAAAAAGGAGCATGTACTAATATTTTTGATAACACCATTACAAGCAATATGAATGCTTGTTATTACAGATGAATTATTATTGTGCTTAGTTATTGCCTTCATATTTGTATAGGCTAGCTATCTTACACCTAATATCTGGCACATGCGTAGCTACCATGGAGAGCAAATGTGTGCTAAATCTCCCTATTTTTTGGTGTTTGCATCTAAATTAAATTTGTTAAATTGGAAGAGACTTTTTTTTGTCCAAATAAATTATTCTTTAATATTTACTTCAGCAAATACTTCATGGATGTTTTTGTTTTGATTTTTTTTTTTGCTTGTTTGCCTGAGTCAATAAGATGATGGAGGGGTGGTGGCTTCAAATGCTAATAGTAGCACTTCTTTGTCACCATGACAACAGGCATACTGACCTATGTGATTGTTTAGTTGGCTTCAGGGAGACTGGAGATGTTAAGGCAGTGTCAGTGGTTGCTGCTTCCTGATTGGACAGCTAGTTGATTAAGGTTAGAAGGACTCCCTGACTTACCACATGGTTTCTATGGTAGCTGCAATAGTAAGCCTAAGTTGTGGAGCATTTTTACACTTAATCATCTTCCTTTTTTCATTCTTAAAGGTATGAATGCTATTACATTGTGCTAATTGTGTTACCTGGGTAGGAGTTAAATTGTATGATGTTCTAAGTCTGATAGCTCAAAACATAACAACATAAAATTCTATATATCAAAATCAGTCTAGTTGCCCCCCTCCTTTTTGAGAAAGAGAGAATATCACTGTTGGGATTGCTAGTCAAGCCTTACTTTTCTGTAACTTTCTGACTTGTTTCAGGGTAATGGTTGTAAGGCAATGGGGAGAACAAAACCTTGTCTGTCAATCCTTCATTTATTTGAGTGCAGGATATCACTAAGCTTGACACTATGGCATGGCCAGTGAGCTTTGCCCAGATGTTTCTAAGTTTATATTGTTCTCTATCATTTTGTTTCCCATGTTGTTTCAATTTCTTAATTTTAATGAGATGAGGCAGCTAAATATCAGAATTAGATTAGGGTTATTTTTTTTACTGCAAGGTATTTACTGAGATACAGGGACTCTCAGTTTCTTTTGACAGATATATTTGTGCTGTTTTTAATGACAGAGTAATTTTCAGCTAAGATTTTTCTAACGTAATAGACTTATTAAGATTGATAAAAGTATAAGTTTACTCAGTAACTATCTATATTTAAAAATCACTTCCAAAATAAATTATGTTGAGCAGGCAGGGGGAACCTCCACCTTGTAGGGATCCTAATTTTGTCCACAAGGTTCTCTTCCCTGAGTGATGCCCACCTGCCCCACATCTGCTATCATGTCAAATGTGGCTACAAAGGAACAGTTGGATGCCTTAAAGTACAGATTGGCACTGACAGCAATCCCCCTCTCCCTAGGATCAAGTGCAGTAGGCAGTTTCTGACCAGGAACTCCTGAGGGCAACTGATCCTTGCAAGCCCCACTTTCGGTATGGATCTTCCTTCGCAGCCTGGTGATGGCAGATGACTGACAGGTGGAGAGCTGCACCCACCCATTAAAGTGGCCTGTGGGATTGCTCAGTGCTAGCTGGCCTAGCTATCCCTGAAGTTTCCCCTATCCTCTGCATCTGGCAATTTACATCTGTAGATGGATCTGCTGTAGCCATTGGAATGATTCTTCTGTCCCTCTGCATGACTAGCATTGCAGCTGTTCAGGCAGGCAGGTCTAATACCTTTCTAGCCTTGGTTTCTAAACCTGTCTATTTTTTATGTGGAAGATTCAGCACCATAAAACTAGTGCATTATAAGAAAGGGAAGGGAAGCTAGTTCTCCTGGTACTTCCAGGAGCTTGAAAAGATGACACACCTTGGCTTGGAGCATGGTAATTTCACTTTGGTGTTCTCATGTGTGAGACAGTTGGAGAGTCAATGAAATGTTTATTTCAAAAGGCACATAGTTTAAACTGGAGAGACAGACACAAATGTGCACATCTTGTAGCAGGTATTTTTTATTTTCTTGTAGGATATTTTGAATAATCTTGATTCATGCGATCTTGAAGATGATGATCTTATGCTCGATGTTGACTTACCTGAAGACGCACCCTGTGATAATGGTTAGTGAAATAATTTGAATATGTTTAAATGCTTTATTGCAACTTCTCTTACTCTGGCTACTTTGGTTGCCCATCTCTCTTTCCTTGCCAACTATGACTGTCATTTCCTGAACTTGGGAAACATCCACAGAGGTACCATCAGCAACACTGAGCCCTGTGTTCAGCTTCATGTCTTTATTCAGGGGAAATTGCTGCTCCTACTACTGTAATACAGCTTCTAAAGCATCCTGTTCTGAAAACAGCATTTCCTTAAAACCTTTTTCAAACAGTTTATGAGCACTAATTTTACTTAGTGTCGTGGCTTTCAGCTTTCAAAGTACTTTTAAGGAGAATTCTTGATGTGTTTTGTATTGCATTCTATATAAGAGATTTTTAAATAATCACATACTTTTTTTGTGTAAAAGCTCAGCCAGAGTGTAAAAGTATTTTATACAAATACTTTTGGCTGTTTTAGGATTAAGTTGTGAAAGCTGTTACATGTAGACGGAGTTCTAATACCTGCTGAAGAATATACGATTGTGTTGAATGTTTTAATGCACCTTACTTTAACTTGTTAGATTCTTCATAAAAAGTTTATTAAATAAGTTTGTTAGAATAGTTCATAGGGCTGTACTTTACTTGTTACATTTTGGAGTCTGTGAGGGAACTTGCCCTCTATTTATAGCAACCGTTCTAGTGCAGCAAGTATGTTCTCACTCAGTGAGCAAGGCGGTAGTTCTAAATCACAGGGTCAAATTGGGCTCCTTTCCCAACAATACGCAAGCAGGGAATGAGCAGGAAGGAAGGCCTGTTTACCACGGTCTTATGCAAAACTATGTCTGAGTAGGCAGTGGAATAAGACTGCTCAGTTTTATGAAAAGCTTCTCGTAGCCGAGGCCTGACAATGTGAAGAGAAAGTGTCTGGGTAAGTAAAAAGCCTAAAGGGTTTCTTGAAACTTTTCCTTCCTGGCAGTATTTTTCATTATTATTTTTTACTTGGCTTTTAATAGCTTGTAAGTAGCTGCCAGTCGCAGCTTTCACTGACTAATCTGTTGTTGTTGCTCGTGCAAACTGAGAGATCTCTGAAATCTCATTTTCATTATGTGATAGAATGTATATGTTAAAACTTTTTTGTATTTCTGTTTTGTATTGTGCTTTCTGTTTAAATATTCATATATCTATCTTGCCATAAAATGAAATGCTGTTTCTGTTGCTTTTAAAGGTTGCTCTTAAATCTTAGGATTCTGATGGCAAGGGAATTACTCATTACAACAAAAAATACTGCTGAATTCTGTCAGCATCAGTTTTAAGTTTTGATTACTTCTTGTCCTTTGTGATTGAAGCAATAAGTTTCTTAACTGAAGTAGTAATGTGACCTTGTGGATGCAGTTATTTAAAACATATGTATCCTGCCTTTTGCTGTTGAACTGATGAACAACAGTAATTAAAGTCTCATTACAGTTTTATACAAATAATTAAAAGCACCAAGTTAGCAGCAGTAGCAGTTGATAACACAAATTTGTTGTACATCAGTTCCTATACTTATTTCCGTACATCATTGTAAATCAGTAATGAGTTATATCTGGCAGCCACTTTGCATTTCTGGGTGATCATATTTCCATTTAGATGAATATTGAAATAGTTTCTATTATCTATGTAGTGGATTGTGAAAATATGAATCGTTATGAGCGGCCAGAAAGAAATATTCGACAGCAGAAGGAGGGGTTGTGGAAGAGGACACCACAACGATGGAATGCCCAAGACCATTATCATCTTGGTCATACTGACCATTGTTCCCATAGTAGAAATGATCTGAACAGGTAAGGCCCTTACTTTTCACTCTTTTTTTTGTTGTTGTTAAAACTATATATAATAAAAGAAAATTATTATAAATTAGTTTGGAGATGGTTTTTAACACCAGTCAGATTAAATCAAATAAACAAGGATTATTTGGTGTTATGTTGGAGGGGATGCGAGGAAACAGAGAATTATGTTCACATGTGGTGGGGGTGTAAATATGTACAACTTCTTTGGCAAAGGGTGTTTAAGGAGATAACAGAAATCATTTGGTTAAAGCTGGCTGAAAGTACTTAGTGCTTGTAGTCTACAGTTTATATTGTAGAAAAGGCTACTTTTTCTTGCATATACTGTACATATGCTGTCGAAAAACAAAGGTATCCTTTTTTCTTCAAGACTATTTGAGCCCTATGCATAATTGATTGATTTAAGGATGGAGTGATAGCTGTAGTAATATTTGATTGGTATTAAAGATTTCAGAATGTTTCTCTTACTGAAGTACATCAGAAGATTGTCTATTAAAACATTTCTAAAACACTTTTCAGGAGCTGCAACTATTTTGACTCTCCTCCTGTCGGTCACCTTGAAGGATATGGAGCACCAAGCTTGTACCCACCTCTGAGAAGTTTGCCGGCAAACACTGTGATGCTGGATGAAATGACCCTTCGGCATATGGTTCAAGACTGCACATCTGTGAAAACTCAGTTATTAAAATTGAAAAGAATATTTAATCAGGTTAGCAAGTTTTTAACAACATGGGAATTGAAGGGACACTTGTCACTAGTTTGTGTTACGGTACTTGATGCTAATAAGTGTGTGTGTACATACATGCCACCATACCAACTGACCTAACCCTCCTTTGATTCTAGTCTTTATTATCAAGTAAAAGACTAGGGTGACTTGGTGTTGTTGTTGTTTTTTAAAAAAATAGCGAGCAATCGTATTTCATTTGAATTAAATTGCTTCATTTGTGATCAGTGTTAGAAACTGAAAAATGAAAGCTAGGAGCTAAATGGCACCTTAAACCTAGGTTATGGGCGCAACAACGGAATATCTAGGCACACTCTTTTTATAACAAGAATACATAGCTGAAAATGCAGCTAAAACAATACGTTCATTTTTCACATAGTCTAGTCCTTCCCCTGCCCACCCCCCTAATATTCTTAAGAGGGTCTCATTTCCAGTCTTCAGAGAGTAGCTGGAAGTGGGGAGGCAGAAAAGGTCCTCCTTTTCTTCTACTCTGCAGTTTTAACCTGAAATCTTAAGCGCAGTACTGTGCCCAGTGCTCAGAAACTACTTGTGCTAATGAAATTCCCTGTTGCCAATGAGCCTAGAACAATAGGAGGTTCGAACACGGTTTGTGATGTAATTGTGCTCAGACGCATGGAAGTGAAGCAAAATCTGTTAGAATGCCCTATGTCACTGAAGGTCACTTCATAAGTTCCCCTTCATGCAAGGGGGAGCAGAAGTACATGTTTTGCCGAATGTGTGATGTGGTTCTGTCACGGGGAGGAAATAAACCTCTGTATAGGGGGTTAGATTAGATGTGAGGAACCTTTGAGCTTCCAGATGTTGCTGAAGTGTGACCCTCATCATCCCTGGCTATTGCCTATGTTTTCTGGAGCTGATGGGAGTTATACATCTGGAGGGCCAAGGGTTCCCTACACCTGCTTTAGATGAAATAATGGTTGTGAATGTTCTAACACTTCTCAGCCAGATTTGTAGTGCTCATATTTCTATGGTGTTAATTCACATGCGTGTGGATTGTTTTTCTTCTGCATAATAATTCAAAAAAGAAAAAGGTGTGATTGTTAGAGAGACTTGCATACATAGCTTTATTGATAGGATCATACAAAGCTTTAGTCAAAGAACTGAAAATGTGTAAGTTAAATTGAGTGTTAATCTAATTGTTCTGGACTGGATTTGCAAATGTCTAGTCTAAGTCTCGCTAGGAGAGAGGGAGGCCTGCTTCTGAAGTTACTTTGCGAAAACAATAACCGTAAACGTCATCCCTTTTTCCTGTGCATAACTGTCTTGGCTCAGACTTTCTATTTTTGTACCTGTGAATAACATACCTGACTTTTCTAAGTACGAAAGGACTTCAGCTTCAAGAAACCCTACCCAGTAATGGACACTCTAGCTGCCCTCCCTCTAGTCAGGTCCTCTGGCAAGTAGAGTACTGCTGTTAGCTACAGAGCAGCCTGGATGGAAAGGCGGAGCGCTCCTTCCTTTAGGAGCTGTGCTTCCCAGGGTGCTTGTGTATGTAAAGCACTGCTCTTAAGTGCCATTCTGCTATATTATTATTATTATTATTATTATTATTATTATTATTATTATTATTTTATTTTATTTATTTATTACAGTTGATCTGTTACTCACCTGGTAAACCACTGTCTCAAGGCCATTTACATGTAAGATCATTAAAAACACAAAAACAACATATACATTTAAAACAATACTAAAACCCCAACAAATGGACACTCATGGTAAAGACCCATTTATCCAGCTGGGAAAGCCTGCCGGAACAAAAATATAAAGCACAGCATTTTGAAGGCTTCCTCCTGCGCATCTTTCCCTCTCAATTACAGCTGTGTCTAAGAGCACTATGTAGTGAGGGAACAGTTTTCAGTACCTGCTCCTCAAACTGCTTTTTCTTGGGGAAAGTGAAATAAAACATCACATCATTGTGCTCCCAAGTAAAATGTGTGCTGCTAGTACAAATTATGGTACATTGGTAAAATGTATGATTAATTGAAATCTTCCATTTTCTAACATATCAGTACAGTGCTGGCTTTGTAGAGGAAGTTCGCTTATTACAGTTATGATGTCACTAATGATGAGGTCCCTTTGAACAGAAGAAGCCCAACATTCTTAGTTCTTAAAAACAACTAAGTAGTCTATGGTGATTATGTATCTTTCAGCTAGTCTGGGAAGTATAAGAAGAATTCAATATATGCCATGTAGACGGAAAGTAAAATTGGAAAAAAAGGTTGTTTTCAAATACTCAGAATATTTTAAGGGGGGCTTTTTTAAAAAAGTAACCATATGTAACCTGGTATTTTTTGCATGCACAAAGGTGCTGCACTGTATGTGTCCTATCAAGCTAGGGATATAGTGTAACAACCTATTATGTGTGGATCTTGGCTGGAAATAGTGATATTCAGTTTGCTGTTGCACTCCAGTGAGAACTAGGCCTTAATCCTGCCTCTGGACTATACGACTTCAAACTGCAGGTGGGGGATGCTCACATGATTGAATGTCTTGTATATAGAAAACTAGCAAGCCAAGTAGAAGGTGCAGATATCCCCAAACACCTTTTTTAAACATTCATTTTTATTTTTTTTATACCTATTGGTGCACTGTAAATAGTGTACAGTAGAATATTCATGAAGTGAACATCACTTGTGGTGGAAATGTTTTGAATGGAGGAACCCCCCCCCCTTTAGTAGTGCAGCCAAAACACAAATTTACAATCTCAATCTTACCGAATCTGTTGCACTAATATAACCAAAGTGCCTGGTTACACATAGGAAATAGTTTAAATGCAAGCTTCACCAAAAAAAGTTTTGGTGAAGTGGAATGGTATAACACCCCATAGCTATGTGACCTTTTATAATTATTCAGCAAACAAACTAGAAGTAACAAATTAAGTTCCAGCCCTTATAATTCTTGAATAAATCATTGTGTGGTCTAGGCATTAAGAAACACTTTCTTTCATCCATCTCTCTCTCTCTCTCTCTCTCTCTCTCTCTCTCTCTCTCAAAGCAGTTTCATAATAAAGCTAGTATTTAACATGTTGAATACTGCTAGGGGGGAAAGTTTCTTTGAAGATGGATACCAGAAATCGTTTGACAATTTCAGGAACCTGATAGATTCTTAGTGCTGAGAAACTAAAATGGAAAAGTAAAATCAGTGCATACAATTTATTAGCAGATCTCACTATCTAGTTTTGGAAATCTGTTTGAAATAAAACTCTGATAAGATGGAACCATTTGGAAACTACCAGATCTCCCAAGGTCAGTTCAAAATGTCAGGAATAATCCAGGAATTAGTAGTATTTATCATTCAAATACTATAGGATTTAGGTGCTCAAATAAATGGAAACCTTTCTCTTCTTGCAGAATGATGAAAATGTGTCACTCCACAACATCACATTTTCACTTCCTTCAAGCCCAGAACTGCAGGAGCCTGAACCAGTTTATAAGGTAAACCAACTGTGCTTATTTCAGAGTTGACCCTTTTGAATGAAGGAGCTAATGAAAAAGCATCAAGTGTAGGTCAGCACTATTTATTTATTTATTTATTTATTTATTAAGAATTATCTTGTTTACCCTTAGTAGGTATGACAAGGAGAGGAGTTCCTTTAATTTTTTATTTCTTTGCAAAGCAGCTGCAAACTCTGCAGACTGTTTTGAGAGATAAGAATTGTGGTGGAAAAACTGGGCAAGCAAAGAACCATGTTGCTAGGCAGAATGAGGAGAGAAGACAGTTTCAGGAAAAGCACCACTAAGAAACACTTGGCCTAGGGAGCAGGTTTTGTTTTCCAGCTGCTGTTGCCACTGCTGTTGGTAAGAGGCTTGGGCAAGATTGCAAACAAACCAAACTTAAGGGAGGATCTTAACTTCAGACATAATGTTGGAGGAGATTCAGGGAAATCAGATTAAGTCTATTTATTTCAGTAGGTTTGATGTAGTTTGATATCACCCAGTGGTCTGTTGCCCCCAAGTAAGCTATAGTTAGTTGTCCATTTAATTGTCCAGAACTTTCAAACCATAGCTTAACTACCAGTGGTGGAGCATTCACCGCCTGTGTCCAGGGCATGCATACACCAGGGTACGTTCAGGACATGCTGTGGGGTAGGGTATGTTGCCAGAGTGACCCCTGCCCACTGCTGTAAAGCAGGGCACACTTATGGGGCACCGCAAGCTGTTGCAAAGCAACAGGCATCACCCTGGCCCCTGCAAGCCAAGTGCTGCTTTTGTGAGTGGCAGTGGGCTCACAGGAAGGGTGTCATATGCTGTTGAATCCTCTCACTGCACCCTACAGCTGAGGACACAACAGCTCACCATGCGGCAGAGCGCCATGATGCACCCCCCAAAAAAACTGCCTGGGGTGATGGCCCCCCTCGGCCCCCCATTCTACGTCACTGTTAACTATGATACCAGAATGTGGCCAATATTTGCAGTTTTGTTTTTTGTTTTCTTTCTCAACATTTGGTAATGAAAATAATGCAGAGCCTAAACTTTAAAAAGCAATTTGCTCCTAGACAAAGATTTTACTTTCTCTCTTCCCTGACCCCCCGGACAGATAAGAATTATGTTTATGTACTTCATGGAAAACATTAAAATCTCCACTTTTTGTTTGGCAGACTGATGATTTGCTGAATGAGATCACACAGCTTAAAGAAGATTTAAAGAAAAAGGATGAAACAATCAAACAACTAGAGCATCGGCTTGTGAGTATATTATACAGTATACTCTGCAGAGAATGTGATATCTACCATAATTTCTGTAAAGCAATGTGACAGCACTTCTTGTTCACTTGCGTGGGACTAACTTCAATATTTAAGTCAGTGGGAAATCCTTTTATAGGAGCTGCTTATGTAAATTGGAACAGTCACAGGAATTCCTGGATCAGAAGTATGATACCTTAGTGTTCTTACATATTATGGCCATGTGCTGTGTATTATAACTTAGAGCACAGGATTCTGAAATAAAAGGAGTTCAAACCGCACCATTCTTCATTTTAACGTATCACACTGTCAATTTATTTTACTCTTAATGCAGCTGCATTTAGCAATTTGTATCAAGTGATAAGACTTGGCATGAGTAATCTAACTATACTTTAAAGAGCAGCAGATGATGTTTCTTATAATGTAAAGCCTAAATTACAATATTAACACATTCAGGGGAACTATTATGGAAGGAGGTATTTAAAAATAAAATGAAAATGAAAAACTCTCCAAACAATTGAAATTGCTGTGAATGATTTGGAAATAGTTCATGTTAATTGCAGATAACTGTGATAAATTTAAGTGTATAAAAGTATCAGGATATACCGTATTTTTTGCTCTATAAGACTCACTTTTTCCCTCCTAAAAAGTAAGGGGAATGTGTGTGCGTCTTATGGAGCGAAAGCAGGCTGCGCAGCTGTCCCAGAAGCCAGAACAGCAAGAGGGATCGCTGCTTTCGCTTCGCAGTGATCCCTCTTGCTGTTCTGGCTTCTGGGATTCAGAATATTTTTTTTCTTGTTTTCCTCCTCCAAAAACTAAGTGCGTCTTGTGGTCTGGTGCGTCTTATAAAGCGAAAAATACGGTATATGAGTCTAGGTTCCTTTCTGGGAGACACTGGGTTGTAACCCATGACCTTGTTCTGTTTAGTGCAAGACTTCCAACTGCACAATGGGATGGGACTTTCATTTCCTGTCCTTGCTACTAACCCCCCCCCATCAGTTATGGGTTTCTCCCCAACTTTCTGGAGGAGATCTGGGAGGTTTGCGGGGAGTGCATGGGAAGAGGAAGTCCTGTTCTGCAGGTGGAAGCCCTTGAACTAATGGAATAACTTGATGTGTTACAACTCTTTATATTCTGCACTGCTGTTTGTGTACAGTTTACACACTGTTCAGTTTACACTTGAATTAAGTATTTCTAATGTCTATTATGTGGATCAGCCTTTGGACCTCTGTATCCATCCTTTTCTTCTTTCTTAGCAGCAGTTTGTGGCGCCTGTTTTGCGGTGGTAAAACCCATGAGAGTATGGAGGGATTATTTTATGGCCTTACTACCTCATATTTTTGTTTAATTCATTTGCTAAATGTTATATTGTGTATTATACTATCTGTAAGACATTTTGAGATGTTATGTAAATTAACTAAAAAGCGTAATAAATAATCATCAGATCGTTTGTCTTTTGTGTATGCATAAAGTCTGTTAGGTGTGTCTGCGACAGAGACAGCAAGATATCTGAACAGCCTGCGTGCACATATGCTGACAAATACACACAGACCTCCTGGAGGAAAAGTGCTGTGAGTAGTTGATCAAAAGTTACAGTTGTTTATGTAAGATAGCTCCTGGTTTAGATCCATTAGGTTTCGTCATCTTGCCATGTTACCTAGGGTTCTTTCAATTTCTTCTTTTTAGTTGTATATAATTTTAAAGATGTTTTGCAATCTGCTACATTGTATATACATAGTTATTTATCGGGTGGCGGAGACAAACAGTTGTGTATTTTTGTGTGTGTGTTGACTCTCATTTGAGTCTTAAAAATACAATTTAGGATTTCAGATAAGTAGGATTTCAGTTTCCAGTCCTTCCTGATTCCTAAGCATCATTTTTAGGAATGCCATCAAAATGCAATATAGTGCTAATGTAGTTCATATTAAACTTTAATATGAACTGCAGACATTCCAGAATCGAAAAACCATTTTGGATCTTAGTAAATCATTTTAGATGGGTTCTGTAGTCTATATTTAATTCTTATGGATTAAATTCACTGGAGTGTATCCAATATTTGTCCTATTGAGGATTGTTCCATTGAAATGAATGGACATTAGTGACTTAGGTCAATTAGTTTCAGCGGGTCTGCTGTGAGTATAACTTAGTTGGCTATAACCCACTATTTTCAAATCTCATGAGAATCTATTACCAGTACATATTTTCCTGGCAAGGTTACCTCTTTGTCTTTTTAATAACTGTCAAATTTTAGTCCTGGGTTTATTTCTGTTTCCAATTTTGGAATCTGAAGTATTGGTGTAGATGATAATATAATTCTTTACAAGTTTGATGGATTCTAGTAGAACATCTTCTCCATTAGCATTCATAATGCACAGCAGCAGTGGAGCACACATTTACCAAAAATATGAAATAGCTCTCAGAAGAAAATTGTGATCCTTTTGGATTTCCGAATAACACTGGACACCAGCAGAAATCGCACTAGTTCTAGATTTGAATGAGAAAAATTGGGGTTCACTTGTCCTTACCCCTTTTAGCTAATTTGAGGTTAGTGTTTTCATATTTCTGAGGAGGAAAGAGAGGATTTCCTAATTCTATGCATCTTATTCAACATTGATGGTTGAGCATCTTTTCTAGGGTAAAAAAAAATAATTATATGCAAACTGTAGCAATATATTTTGACTGTTGAAATGGCAACAAAGTGTTCTATGATGTCACATGCTCTACACATCACTGATTTTTAATGGAATTTCCTAGCAGTGCATTATGTAGTTTATGGATTGCTAGTATGCAGAATGTGTGCCACAAATGGTACAGGCACCTGTGTGGACTTCATAATATGGCTAGACACGAACAAATGGAACAGTGGACCCGGCTGTGGCATAATTAGGCCTGTAGTTCTGTCCTGCTCAACTATTAGTAAACTAGAGGCAAAATAGCACTAAAAGAATTGCCCTGAAACGGCATTATACTGCTGTAGTTCTCATGGCACATTAAACTATGGTTAAAAACAAGCCCATATTTTAATGTGAACATGCAGTGTACTAGTGCACACTACTGAAAAGTTCCTGTTGCTAAGTGTGGGTATGTTGCCAGGAAACAAGCCAGCATCTGGATTGTGATGCCTGAACCTTGGCTTGTTTCTCTCTAAACAGAGAAGCAGTATCCCAAGGTTGTTCTTTGCTTATTGTTTACAGTTTGTAGGCAGTGAAACAAATGAAAAGCCTGGGTTCAGGTGTCATCACAATCCAAACTCTGACTTGTTTCGTGGCAGTGGCAATAGTAGGGAAAACAGTAGTTTAACATGCTACGCAAACCAGGGTATGATTTGAGAAATACTATATGGTCTTTAGTTGTAAATTATTCTATGAAACTGCCCCAGAAGCCTCTCCTATACTATTTCTAAGAGTTGTTAGTGGACACTTCGTTGTGGACTAGAAGTGAGCTTTAGGGTTTTGTGCTGAAAAAACATCTTTCACATTTTTCAGTACATGATTTGGAAGAACAAATAACAAAAAAACCATACTCAGATCATAGTGATTGGACGTGTTTTGTATATTTGTAGGCCAGGGGTTGGCAACCTAAGGCCCATGGGCCACAAGCGGACCACAGGGGTCGTTTAACCAGCCCCCGAGCCGCCCACTCAGTGAGTCCCCACGTGCTGTGCTTTACCAGCGCAGTGCGGGGACTTACTTCCGTGGCGCCAGAAATCATGTCGATGCAGATGCCTGAAATCGCGAGTGTGTTCATGATCCGGCCCATGGAGGGATCTCTGCTGGAGTGAACCGGCCCAGGCGAGGTAAACCTTGCTGACCCCTGTTGTAGGCAAATAAAACTAGCACAGTGCAATATGTACTGGAATTCATACTTGATTAGGTTAAAGCAAAACTATAAACTCAGAATTCCTGATTTGACTCTTCTTGACATTCTGACTCTAATCTACTTTGAATAATTTTTGAAGGACAATTTAAATGAACCTCACTGATTCATCAACAAATTCTATAATATTCTATATTTTTATTCTTACTATTTTCATTCAAAACTAATTCAGTATACAGATAGATATACGCATATAGGCATGTTTCAGTTGACCTGTTGAGACCCCCATATTGAATAATTTAGTTTATTTATTTATTTTTTAAATTTGTCTAACGCCCTTCATCCAAAGATCTCAGGGTGGTTCACAGCATCAAAACACAAAATGCATAATAAAAACAAAGACCAGAAGTATTATTAGAAACCACTGTCATTTTCCTATAGCAGAACAGAAACAATAACAAAAAATGACTAGCTGAAATACTGGGCCCATAGTAAATAATGAAAGGGGTTGAATGTTTCTCCTAATATTCCCCCCATCCACCCAGAACAAGATATTGTTGCATGCCACTTCAATCCCAGAGCAGTGTGAGATTCCAGGGTTTCCAGGCACCCAAGTTTGTGTTTCCTTCAGAATGAGGAACAGCAGAGACTGTGGTGTCTTTATGATATATGGTTTATTTACAACCTGAGCCTATGATGGAGGGGTTCACTGCATTAACATCCCAGAAGAGTCTTGCTTCACCCATAGCCACAGCCTTGGGTGCGAGCAGAAATCAGGCATACGTCTTGCTCCAGCTTCTAACTTACACACACAAAACTCAGCTCACAAGTCTTTATCTTACTAACTACACACATCTGCTACACAGAGCCACTTCCTTTGCTACCTTAATGACCCATACTTAGAGCTATCCCCAGAAAGCCTACCTGACTATTCCAGGAATTTGAATCCTTGCTTAGATTTTAACACTAGCTGAATCCAGAAGTTACTCCCCCCCCCATATAAAATTCCAGTGTTGTAAGTTTGCACTAAGTAACGTTTCTTTCAAGATAAAAATCAGCTTGGAACAGAATTAACCTCCTGCGGTAAAATCTATTTTTGTGGTCTGATAGAATTCTGCAGTGTGCTGTAATAATTTATTTTAAATATAGGAGAACCATTCTTGAAGTGGTGTATAACGTCCTCCACACACACACACACAGTGCGGGGGGCGGGGGCGTTAATTTATGATGATAGGCAAAATGTGAAGTTATTTTTCCTACCCAATTTTGAGAAGTTGGTAGGGATAAAATGGACCCTAATTAGCCCAAAGTGTGTGGTAGTGTCACTTTCCCTTTCATTTTAATAGGGGTAGACTGGACACTTGCTTCAAAAGGAAGGGCTTGTGTTTTACCAAATCAACTACAGAGCTTCTGTTGCTGCAGTTTTCAGGGCAGGGACGATGGTGATGTATTAAAATCTGCAACCTATCCCTGAGTTGTGCTACTTCTGGCTCTGCCCATGGTTAATTTTCAGTTCTCCTCCCCCATTAGTTGTCAAGGGGGGAGAAAAAGAATGCAGCAGCTTCATGTTTCCACAAATAGGTAGGCCAGCTCCACAGCTTACGACAGAGGGAAACATTTAAGCCCATTTTAAAACTTCCCTTTTACACCCCCTCTGCAATAAGGTTACAGCATTACCTTAGGAATTACAGCTGTTAATTCATCTCTCACATAAATATTACACGAGAGAGAGAGAGAGAGATGGGAGGGAGGCATGCTAGCAGCTTTATAATGCCACCATTTGTGTACTTCTTTGCTGTAATTTATTAAAGAAAAACCTTCATTGTTAATAGCTGATTTAGAAGAGTGCAAGTTATGTGCTAGGGGTTCAGCCAAAGGAAGAAGTGATCATAGCAACTTTGCAGTCCACCAGCGGAAAAAAACAACTTTTATTATTTCATATGTTTAACTATGGATTACTGATGTGCAACCAAACCACCATAGATTTACTGCAGCCTTGTAGAAAAGGAAGAAATCTTATTTAAAGGTTGCTCAGAGTTGATTCTTCACATAGGCAACCAAAGCAATGGATATTTACATAACTGTTTTGCAATACTATATTGTCTATTCTTCATACCATTGTACCGTTCATTGTATGTTATCAAAAGTATCACCAATATCTCTTGTAACATCAAGCAAAGTTGCTGAATGTTCTGCTTGTACAGTGGTGCCCCGCAAGACGAATGCCTCGCAAGACAAAAAACTCGCTAGACGAAAGGTTTTTCCGTTCGCGATTTGCCTCGCAAGACGAATTTCCCCTATGGGCTTGCTTCGCAAGACGAAAATGTCTCGCGACTTTTTTTCTTTGACTAAAAACAAAGACATGTTTTGTTTATAAAGTTAATTTATTTTCCCTTAAATTTTTGAACTGCTCTTTACAGTATGTGTGACTTTAAAGAGCAGTTAATAAACTGTTGTTGTACCAAATTTGGCTTTGTTTGGACTTTTTTTGACCATAGGAACGCATTAATTGATTTTCAATGCATTCCTATGGGATTTCGTGCTTCGCAAGACGAAAAATTCGCTAGACGACAAAAATTGCGGAACGAATTAATTTCGTCTTGCGGGGCACCACTGTATTGCAAGCTTTTGTTTTCTGGAGCTCAGCATAATATATAGAATCCACACATGCAGGTTATAGAGCTGTTTTAAGAATTTAGTCTCATCTGAAATTTCCCCTCTATCTAGCTAACTATGTAAGTCAGATTTAAATGTAGTGTGTGTGTAACCCCCACCACAATATAATGACTACAATTCCCTATGTTTCAACTTAGCAAAATCTGTCCACTCTTTCTAAAGTAGCAGTCCTGTGCACATTATTTGAGAGCAAGTCCTATTGTGGCTGCCAAATGCATTTTTAAAAGACCAAGTTACTCAGGTTTCATGCATGTGTGCACCTGCTGCAGAACAAATTGAGAGGACGTGGTTTCACTATCCTCAAAAGGGCATTTCTCTATTTATTAGCATGGAGACAAACAAACCAGGCACCCCCTTTTCTACATTAAAATGGAGATTGTTATTCACATGATGATTACTGCCCAGGGGATGCATGAACTGGCCTTCACGTGGCAACTGTTCTATGCAGTGGCTGGAATGAAAGGCAATTGCCATGGATAATTTTTAACTGCTTCTTAAACTATTTAAGCTTTTTTGGAGCTACGTCTTTTTACAGTCTGAAACAAACCTAAAACCCAAGCATGCACTCGATTGCAATTATCCATGCTCTGATAACATTTTTGTTAGTCTGAATGTATTATATATGGGGCTATCCTTAAAAGATGGTTTGGAAACTACAGATAGACACTGTACCATGAGACTGTTAACCAGGGCATCACATTTGAAACATCTCCCATCAGTATCAAAAGAGCTTCACTAACCACCATTTGATTTTCAAACCCAGTTTGAGTTGCTCATGTTGACGCTAAAGTCCTTTCTCAACATCACCCTGCCCACAAATTCAGCTATCTACCAACACTCCTCTTCAGTTGTTCTGATGTTGGACAAATGTGATGACCGAGAGGAGGAGTGCACCTAGGATCTATTCTACCCTTTGGGTGCCAGTCTAGCTATTTCTATTTACCCAGGACTTCTAAGAATTTTACAATTTCAGTAAGCCATTTTAATTAGTGTATTGTCTTGTGTTTATGCTGATTGGATTTTGTGAGTTGTAATTATTTGTGTACGTCAGGCTTAACATCTCATCCCAGGTGTAAAATGTGGGTCCCATTAAAACATCTTTCAAAGATCTTGAGGTATGCAGGCAATAGAGAATCTACCCCAAGTTCCTTGCTATAATCTTTTCAGGTTTGAAAGGCATACACTTTTAAAGCCTTCCCTGTTCTTTGGACGTCTTCACTGATCTTTATAATAAATTAGAATTTGATAAGCAAACCACTTACTTCCACCAGGTACTCTGAAACAATTTTAAAATGTATATAAAAAGGCTATTCTTGTCTTGATTGACTTGGTGTTGCATTTAATAAATACATTTTGAATACCTAAAGCCAATTTTTCCTTCAAATATTTTCCAGAATCGAGCTTTTACAAACCTTGCTGATCTTTTCAATTATTTCAGATTTAAAAGTATTTGTTCTTAGTAAGAGGAACAATGTGGCTTTTGGTGCTGTTTGCCCCCTCTCCGTTCTCTTTTTTATTATTCTTTCTCCCCCATCTTTCTCTGCACAGGGTGGGTATTCTGCTCCTTCCTTCTCTCCCTGGCAGGGCTCATTCCAGGGCATCCCTCGGACTGTTCCACCGCAACGCAGACAGAGTGAGTCTGTACTTCTCACTCATATCCCTCACTGTGCTCCGGTAGCAGTTTTCCCTTTGCACGCACTGTTCATTGTGTAGCATTCTGTTCTTTCAAGCAAAAACATCGAGACACATGCGAGTCTGTGGTCTAACCTCAGCACCTCTTTCACTTAACGATATAACTGCAACTTAACAGCTTTATCAAATCGTTTAATAATAGATCTTAAAAGCTACCTGAAACCTTTATTTCATCTATCCTGAAAGTTTGCTTGTTCTCCACCCTTTCATGGCTTTTAAAGTGCGTGTTTGTCCCGTTTGTCCATGTTATCAGCATGTATGCTCATCCAAATATATTTGTTTGATATTTGTGGAGATGTGTTCATACAAGTCATACTTTGATAACAGTATGTGACACATTGCTATATTTGGAAAATTAAACTTTTCTTTCAGCTGTGAAGCTTTTCTAAGAGATCTCTCAATCAGCAATGTGCCAGAGTAACAAATTAAGGAAGTAGTGGCTTTTCCAGCAATGCATGATTTATTAAAATTACTCATTAACTAGCAACAGCTTGATCTAAAATGGGATATTGTTCTTTATGCACAATAGAAAAGACAAATTTGTTGATTTGTACTGTACTAAAATAGAGTAGAAAACTAGTAAAACTGATATATTGTGAAGCACTAGCTTAAATTATTTCAGGGGAAATATAAAGTGGCTACCTTCTTTGTGTAAACATTTTCATTTGCTTATGGTAGGTTTTTTTGCATTTTAAATTATCCATACCCTAGAAAGCTTATTTGCAAAGTAAGGATGTATTCCAATCAATTTTATTACCGTATTTTTCGCTCTATAACACGCACCTGACCATAACACGCACATCGTTTTTAGAGGAGGAAAACAAGGGAAAAAACATTCTGAATGAAACAGTGGATGTATCATTTTTGTGCTTCATGCTGTGGCCACAGACATGTGATCTGATGGTGAATTTGGGGTGACCCAATGCAAAAATCCTGAGAATCCCTGTGGATTCATGCTTTTTAACCACATTTTTGCACCATTGCAGCCCCAGGCAACAGTGGGTGCGTGATTTTGGGTGGGCAGGCTGTAGCCATGGACATGCTATGTGATCTGATGGTGAATTTGGGCTGGCCCAATGCAAAGATCCTGAGGATCCATGTGGATCCATGCTTTTTAACCACATTTTTGCACCATTGCAGCCCCAGGCAACAGTGGGTACGTGATTTTTGGGGGGCAGGCTGTAGCCATGGACATGCTATGTGATCTGATGGTGAATTTGGGGTGACTCAATGAAAAGATCCTGAGGATCCATGTGGATCCATGCTTTTTAACCACATTTTTGCACCATTGCAGCCCCAGGCAACAGTGGGTGCGTGATTTTTGGGGGGCAGGCTGTAGCCATGGACATGCTATGTGATCTGATGGTGAATTTGGGCTGACCCAATGCAAAGATCCTGAGGATCCATGTGGATCCATGCTTTGTAACCACATTTTAAGTGGGGAGAGAAGGAAAAACACAGAAGGGAAAAGGAGCACGAGAGGGGTGTGCAGCTGGCTAAGAATGTAGGAGAGGGGTATAACGGGAGGGAGGAAAGGAAGGCAAAAGTTTTCCCCCACTCACCCACCCAAGCCAGCCAGCTCGCGCGCGCTCTCTCTCTCCCTCCTGCATGTTTTCACGGAGAGGAATTAGAATGAAGGACACTCTCTTTCCCCTCTGCTTGCCTGGAGGGGAGGGGCTTTCCCTGCTCTTTGTTCCGTTTGAGCAAACACAGCAAGGAAACAGAGGTGGGTGGGCAGTAAGACCCTGAGGCAGAATGCAGGAAAGCAGCCGCTTCCTCTTTTCAGGCTTCCCTTCTTCGAGAGGCGCGATTTGATTTTTGCCTGATTTTTTTTGCCTCCACTTGCCCCAGTCGGCTCCAGGGACCACACTCGCTCAATAACACGCACAGACATTTCCCCTCCCTTTTTAGGAGAAAAAATCTGCGTGTTGTAGAGGGGAAAATACGGTAAAAGTTGAGTGGTGACATACTTTTTTTAGTAGTTTGAGAATTTGCATTCTTAGCTTCAGTTAGATGCTCCTATATAAATTAAGTATGGGCAGAAATTAAGATCTTCGGCAATGTTCTTAAGAAAATAAAAGGATGATAACTAAAGGGCTACGTATGTTGTGAGAATGCTATTTGGGAACTAAACAAAGACTGAATACTAACTGGTAAGCGTGTGTGTGTGTATGTGTGTGTGTGTGTACACACACACACACACACACACACACACACACATATATATGCTCTCTTTTGAATAGAGCAAAAACCTGCTCCTATTTTATATTGTGGGCAGAATTGGAACTGAGAACTGGCATTATTTCACCCTTACCCTGGGATCTGGACTTTGCTATATGCAGTTCCTGCTGTGGACATGCCCCTGTTCTAAACAGCAACACACGGATGTGCTACATTCCCAACATGTCGTTCAAATCCATGACCCCTGAGATTCAGGGGGTCTCATTCCCAAATGAATGCCTAGTTTCCATTATACTGGACTACACTTGGACGAGGAACTACTTTGGCTGCTTAGCTGAATTTGCCTAGGCCCATCTTCTCATAGAGTTTGGGTTAGATAGACCTCTGTTGTGGTCCAACAGGATGCTCCTTATGATCTTAGCGTGTCTTCCATATTTGGTGGTTCATTAATTGTCAGTGCTATAAGCTGTGCAGTGAAAGTTGCTTAGGGCTAGAAAATCAGTGAAATAAGTAATATGAAAGAGTTCAGTGGAATGCACTAACTGGCCTAGTTCACACATCACATTAAGCCAAAGTTTGAAACAGGATGGAGCACCTATGGCCCAGGGGCCAAATGCAGCCCTACTGGCCTCTTCCCAGACTTTGGGACTCTCTCCGAGTAAAGCCCCCTCCCCAACAACACTGTTTCCCCAAACTACACCCCTAACTGGCCTTCCTTCACATTCTCCTTTAGAGTTTTTGCTTGGCTGGAATGTGTCCTTGGACACCGATAATGACTCTTTTTTTATCTGGCTGGACAAAGAGAGGTGTGTGAGCATGTGTAGAAACTAATGTACTATAGAAAGGAACTACCCACTTTTTCCTTCCCGGCACTAGCATGTGGTCTCCACTCCCAGAAGGTTGTCCAGATGGCAGTATAGTTTTCAGGCTGAAAATGTTTTCCGATTCCTAATTTAAAACAAACCTGTTTGCTTTTTGTGTTGTCCAAATCTGGGCTCATAGTTTGTTTCCTTCCAACAAATCACAAGTAGTAACCAAGGCTTGTTCTTTGCTCACTGCTTGACATTTGTTTGAGGGAAACAGGTCCAAACCTGGGTTCAGATGAAACGACAAGCCTAATTCTGGCTTGATTTGTCTGTGGTGTGGAAGCAGCAAGAGTGTGCAACAGCAGCATAGGAAGCTGCTTATGTGTCTAGACTAGGTGTGGTAAACCTAGTCTAGTCCACATGTTGTTGGACTCCAACTCCAAACATCCATGGCTGATGGGATTGGAATCCAACAACACAGACTCCCCCATCACCCATCTAGACTGGTAAACTTCAATCCCTCATACCCAGTTGCCTGGAAGCTTCTCTGTAGAGTCTTTGGTATGTGAACAGTCACAGAAGTGCTGATTAGTTTGATGATCAAAGGACCAATCATACCTATATTGAGTCAGGATGGTGGAAGTAAGTGGAACAAATTTGGCATAATTTCAGGATAGAAACTTGTGCAAAACCAGCTAGGGGTTGGGCAGAGTAGTTGTGGATTTAGGAGATTATGAGCTGTGGAAATACCCTGACTCATTTCTGGGTGAGGGAAAGCCAAAGGAATATGAGCTTATAGTGTATCACATATTACCTTTTGAGCATTAATGATAGACTGCAGACCAGGGGCAGGCAATGTGGGGCCCTTGGATGTTGTTGGATGGCAGCCCCTATCAGCCCCAGCCAACATGACCAATGGTGAGGATGATGGGAGCTGGAATATAACAACATCAGGAGGTGCACAGGTTTCCTACATCTGATATAGACAAATAAAGTCTTCAAAACAATGTGATGAGCAGGAAATCAAGAGGCTATTAGAATTTCTGTGTAATCCTTCAAATTATCATAATTAGAGTCAATGCTGAGTTCCTGATAAAGGTGAGTAGAAATTAGGTGCCAAGTCAGTTTTGTCCTTTGAAAAGTTGGCATAGATTTGTTCTTAAGATTCAGGGATATACTTGCTTTATGTAAAAGACCTGCGTTAGTACACTGGAATAAAAGATTTCCTCAATAGGTTCATATACACAGCTATGTAATGAAAGAGAGGGTACTCTTTGGTCATGGCAATTGCTCATTGTTGTGTCTTGGTCCTCTGACACCACTGTCCTGTCTTTTTCTTGTCTCTGCTTTCCATTTTGCTATTGGCAAGGAGTTGAGGAATTAGTCCATTACTTCTATGATAAAGCGTGGTACAGTACAACTTCAGATTTCTTCCTCCTTCCACTTCTTCACTATTGTGTATGCTGCCTGCATGGTGCATGCATGTCAAAGTTGTGCATGCAGAGTTGTCTTGTTTTCTCCATACCTCATAACATTAATAGGAAAAGGCTGTTCAGTAGTTCTTAATGAAATCAAAGTAAATGTTTCATCTCACCTGTGTTATAAGCAAGAGAATCACATTTTCATGCCTGTATTTTTCTACACCTTACTGAGTGGCATTAAGTTGTATGCAAAATTGCAAAACATTTGAAGTAATTTCCAGTTTACTGTGTGTGTCTTATGTGGCAATTCTCTTCATTGATTTTCTGCTATTGAGCACCCTGCGACAACTCATGTAGAACCAGCCTTCACAGGATGCTGCTATATTGTGGCAGGGTATGTGTGGATCCTTTATACTAGAACATCTAGAGAAATCTGGAAATGGATAATTTCTAGAACCTATCTTTATTGTAAAAATACATGTTGACAATATCCAAAGGCACAATTGGTGTTTAATACTTTGTCATAATCTGCTTCCTTGGTTAGACAGCATTGGAAGTATTCTACAGCACAATAAACATATAGTGCTTTTCTTAGTGCACACAGCATTGCATATGAGTTTTCATTAATCCTTATAACATCCTTGTAAGAGGCTGTTATTACGTCCATATTACAAAGTGAGATGGGGATACGGTTGGAAGTGTGATTACTTAATGCTTCCCAATGAGTTCATGGTAGAAATGAAATTTAAATTGGGACCTGACTCACAACTTCTCCTGTCAAGCAACATTAGTTTTATATCTGCTACATTAATGGAAAGCTCCACAAAACAGTTTAAACAAGTAGCTATCATATACATTTCAGTTAGGTCTGTACCAGGTGTTTGCTGGTGAACAACTTAAGGGTGAAAGTAGAGCTTTAGAGGGGAACCTGGCAATGGAGATACGTCTTCTGTTTCTCTGACATTTACTCCATAAAACAAATTAACGTGTTTGCCTCCTTCCCCTGCAGCAATTTTTTTACATGAGTGCTACAAAGCAGGCTGCTTTTTGTAGTGGGTGAAAGTGTTTGTGAAAGTCCCTCTCCAATTTCATCTCAGCCATGCGGTTTCAATATACTTCAGACTATACATGTATAGCCAGCCAGTCAACTTATTTAACCAGTTAGCTTATTGAAATACTTCTGTAACTGAAAGTAAAAGAAAACTCAGGCTTAAATTAAACTAGATCTAAATTAAAACAAACTAGTAGTACATAGGCATTCCATACACTGGAAAGCACATATTAATGCCTATGCAGATTTCTACAGTTGATAGCATTTGTTTCAATAAATGGCCTATTCATTGTGATTATAGAAAATACTGTAATTTTGAATATGTAAACATATTTCTCTTGCTTAGACAGAAGGTGCATCTTTAAACTAAGGTTATTAAAAGTGGCCAAATCATTCAATAATAACTTAGCAAATTTCCTTCTGGATTCAGTATAAATGTCAGTAATAAAAGTACATAAAAACAAATGTTTTTGATCACCTGAGCTCAACAAATTGAAAACAAGGAATTTTCTGATCCCATTCCTCATATAAAGTAGACATGATTTGGAATATCAGTAGCCATATTCAGATTATCATATCCTGGATGATTGAGCCAAGATATGAACAAGACTTGTACCCACATAGGCAGCCCCTTCATTCCTCTTTATGATGACATGTTCTCCATTGGCCCTTCCATTAGGATAGGCCATGAAGGAGGCTTGCCCAGAGGGGAAAGAATCTGGGGGCAGAAACTGAAGACCCTTGTTAATTAAAGACTTCCTGGCTTTACTGCATGGATGGGTAAAAGGCTTATGATATCTCTGCTTATTGTTAATGTAAGATTTTCCATAGTGGCCAATATGAGAAATGTTTTATGCAGGACAAACCATGTTAATACCTGAAAAGAATGTGGACCGTTTTTTAAATGAAGATTAGGAGCAAACTCTTTCCATCTTTTAGAGAAATGTTTTCTTAATTTCGCTATGATAAGGTGTGTGTAGGTTTTTTTTTTTTTGCCTGACATTGATTTTTTAGATATTGTGGAATGATCCTAAATTTGGCATTGAAATCCAGTTTCTGGATTTGATTCTGCCTTGCTAATAAGGTATTATCCATTTTAAGAGGCTTTTAATACTACATAAGGATTCAGAACTTTTTAGCTATAAATTTCAATTCCGTCCTAATTCAAACTTCTGGCATAGAAGTCTTTGAAATCTATTTTGTGGAATTTCTAGCTATTCCGTCTGCATTGTTCCTCTAATCTTGGCTCCATATGACAAATTGGGAAAAGATTTCTGTGTGCCTTACCTGCAGGGGAATTAAATTTTCTACTTTGGCCAGATGGCAGGTTTAGCAACCTTTTACTATGAAAGTGACCCCAGTTGTTAAAGCAAACTGATTCAAAGAACTGTGAGCATAAGGAGCAGCACATCAATGCAGTGCAGTGCCACAGTGTAGTGGGGATTGGGTTATTGCAGTCTTCTCCAGTGTGGTGCCTTTCAGATGTAGTTAGATTCTCAGCTCGCATTATCCCTTACTTTTGGCTATGTTGGATGGAACTGGTAGAAATTGAGGCCTAACATCATAAGTTGGGGAACGATGGATTACAGTATAAGAAACAAGAAATAAGGAAAATATAGGATGCAGCCTATTAATTTGAGTAGGCCATAGAAAGGTGTTGATACTTTGCTAGTGCAAATGAGGGGAATCCTTAGGGTCTGGAGTGCTCTTCTGTTAAGTCACAGGGCACAGCCCACTACATTAATGCATTAGTGCAAAGATGCACTGCAACGACTACTAGCTAGTGATTTTTAAAAATGTATAATTGGATGGTAACTTTCGGTAATGGTAGAAATGGAGAAAGGATCTGCACAGTAAAGCACTGAATTATGTCTTCATCATCCACTGCCATGCTTCTCCACTTTGACAGTCTGGAGATGTCATGGCAGCTACAAGCCAGGACAACCTTTCTGGCTCTTCTGCATGTCCTTTTCTGTTAACCATTTCTTTTCTCCCTTTCCATCTCCTAAAATAGTAAACTGTGGCATGTTACGTCTTCCTACACACAGTGTTGCATGTACCTCCGTGTTACTTTGGAGTCTCCTGCAGCAGTTAAGTGACATGCACACATGGAAGTTGGGGTTCTGTCAAGATTGCTTAGACACATATACACACTTAGGTTGTCAACATTGTTGTGGAAAACACCTAGTTTACATACTGTATTTGTTGTGTGTACCTGCCCTGAGACTAGGAAATTAATACATCATATTTAATGTTCAAATCTTCAAATTGCTTTCTTAGCAATTCCTTATGTTGACAGCAACTCTAGGTGCTGGAGGAAATGTAGAAGAGCAAAAGTGGGCATACAATTTATAAATATGAAGAAGTAGAACGTCAAAAAGATAGGCACTGGACAAATGACAGAAAATGAAAGAATTTTAGGCAAGGGGTAGGATTTACAGGTGGATTTTCTTCACACCACATTACGGTACCTGGCACTTGTATGCCTTCTTCTAGTAGTAATATATTTTCATTTCCTTGAGTTGCCAGTATTTTTACTGGGGCATATGGTCAGAAATGATGGACTGCTGGGAAATACAAGAAGTGAATAAATATAAAGAAGTGAGTAAATATTACAACATAAAATGTTAAGAAATGTTGATAGTTTAGAAATATTTAAGGTCCCTGGAATATTTGTTCCTGCATTTCTTGGTACGTATAGAAAATCATTAATAGAACCGTCAAGTGCATATCTGCTCAGAAGTAGGTTTTATAGTAAAGTGGTATTTACTGTCAGATAGATGTGCCAAGGATTGCAACCTTAGAATATTAAAACACTTTGTGTCAATAAAACTCTTTCATTTTGTAAAGGAGACTTTGCAATGGCTGTCTATAGTTAGATTTCTACAATACAAGAGCAGTCCTAGAGTGCAGTTAAGAAAGGAGAAGGGGTTTCCATGACTATAGGACATGTGCGTGTATGGAAATACACACACACACACACACACACACACAATGTTGTTTTCATATAGCAAAAGGGAATTTCATTACTTTGCAAATACATCTGCCTAGCAAAGTTGACAAATGTTATAGTTCACCCAGTCATTAATCTCCAGGACTGGGCAGTTTGAAGACCACTTAAAGCATCTCTGGCCCAGGGAGATGCACTTAACCACATGCAGAATATGTGGATGTTTTCATTTGAGGCAACCTGCACCTTCCAGGCAAGTCCCCAAGCTGCTTTTTAAACTCCCCTAAGCAATAAGATAGTACAGTTGGGGAGCTACTGATAAGGAAACTTGTGCTTCACTCTGCACCATAAATACTGGCTTGTTGAGAAAAAGTTATTTTCACTTTTGTTTCAGTCAAAATAAGATGGTGAAGCTTGTAAAAAATGACTGAGGTTTGGATGGTTGTGATGATGTACTGCAGTGTAGAAGTGTGCACACACTCTTTCTCACTCACACATGGTGGCCTCCTAGATCCCTGATGATGATCATCATCCAGAGGGGGTTAGGAAGGAAGCAGAATGTTCTAAAAGTGCTTCTGCAATCTGATCAATGGATGATTGCTGACCTGAAAAAAGTACAGCATTTGTACATTGCATTCTGATTACCTGCTTGAGTTTTGCTTTCCTCCCTCTTTCTGTAGTGTAGGGGAATCCTCCTAGCTTGATTCTGGTATAAGCTGTTATCCATGCATATATCTTGCAGTCACACCCTTTCCCCTTGTTACTAATTATATTACTTTATTTTGGGTCACTTTGTAACTGCTTTTAAAACTAGCTTTCTGGGAAGCTGTGTAGTCTTCTTTCTCCCTCCCACTCCCACAAAACATTGTAGTCTTCCCTTCAGCCCTGCACAAAGTGACTACACTCATGCAACAGTGGTATGTCGTCTAACATCACATCTACAAAGCTAGGATTGCTATACAGAAATTTATTGAGAACAAAAATAGGCTAGCAACCCAGTCCTAACATATACAGAGCTGTATCTGCCCACAATGTTGACATAATGATAATTGTAATGCCATTTTTATTTTGGGGTTTAACGTGTCACATTGGCTCAGTTTGCAGTTGACACTAAGCTAAAACACAGCTTAGCATGAAGTAAGGCCTTGGATAGGAGATCAGTTTCACTTTACTCCCCCAGTCCTACTGCTCTCCTGTGAAATAAGCCACAGTGGGGACATCTTCCCCACAGGCCTAATCAGACCCACTGAGCTTCCACATTTGGCCCACTAGGCTGTTTTGGTTAAGCCATGCTTACATGCCCTACCCCTGATGCCATCTATAGCATGAAGTGTGTGGCAGGTAAAGGTACAGCTCTTTGCTGAAATTGGGTTTGTAGGCACCACTGGTCAGCAGCACTTGTAAAGCCCTATGCCTTTGAAACCACTGACACTCAACTGATCAGTGGAGCTTGCACTGAGCCTTTGCTCACATGGTTTGATGTCAGACCATGTGGGCAAAGGAAAATGCCACATGAAGAGTGAGGGAGGTAAGCATCTGACCCACTGACTAGTTCTAGTTCCCCATCTGAACCTAGACTCAAAGGTTTGTCTGGAGTGAGACAAACTATGAACCCTGGTTCATATTACACACTAAGCCAAGCCATAAAAAAGCTCAGAGCAGCGCAGCAGGACAGGGGAAGCAGCAAAGCAGCAGAAATATCTTTTCCAGGAACTTCCACATTTGCAATAAGCCAATGGCTTACAGTTGTGTGTGGTCCTGGTCTTTGACTAGCTCTTGATACATTCCAACTTAGGTATTTATGTAGAAAACTGGGGCTTGGATAGTCAGTATGTTCCACTAATTTGCAGTGTGTTGAGCTTGTGAGGGGCCAGGGTACTCCAAACTATAGTCTCCAGGTCTTTCACTTTCTAAAGTTATGGGAGAGGGAGGAGCACATTGATATTTCTTACAGAACTAAATGTAAGCCTTTGTGTAGGGTAGGGTTTTTTTCAGTGCCGAAAATTCCATTGGTAAAATGAGATGAACCTATACATAACATGCAGTGAACATAATAGGCTGCTTTATCTCACCCAGTTTTGTCTGCTTCGACAGGTGGTAGTTTTTTGAGGTCTCAGGCAAAGATCTTCTCCAACCTTCCTACCTGTGTTCATTTAAATTGAGGCAGTATGAACATGGCTATTGTACACAAAGCTCATGCTCTTTCACTTAGATATAAGTTCTTTGTTGTATATTTACATCCTCTTCTCAGGTGTGGCAATTGCAATATAATGTTCCTAAACTCAGGGTTCATTCTGTATAATTGTATTATGCAGTGACTTCATTAAAAATCACTCTTTTTAATCTCTAGCTTTATAATCAAACCTTTCAATTCATCTGTTTCTTGAAAGAAGTATATTCAATGCATTGCAAAGCGTTATTTCAAAAAAAGGGGGGCAGCAAATTCCTTATGTCAACGGCCTGGTTGCAAAAGCATTCTGCAAGCTCTCAGTTCAGACCTTTGACAACAACAATCAGACCATCTGCTGGCAGCCCATTGAGTTGTCAGGGAGCCGGGGGAGAAGCTTGGCCTTACCTACAGTTGACTTGTGGCCCCTTTAGGTCACCTCAAAGGTAAAGCAGCCCTCAACAGAAGAAAAGGTTTCCCCTCCCCACCTTATATAATAAAACCTTAAGAATTTTATTCATAGTTGTAGCGTATGAGCACTTAATAAGAAATTATAGGTGTAACTTCTCATTTACATGTGTGTGCCATTAAATTTGCTTACCATTTCTTGGGCTGTGTGTGTGGGTTTTTATTGTTTGATCTGGCTATTTTTCCTGCTACAATTGAGTTAATAGATTTCCCCCTGTGTTGCACAATTTATTTGAGATTGCTGGATTTTATTCTTTTGTTGTTTCAGATGTCTGGAATGTTTTTCACCTGTTTTTCAAATGTAAACTTTTGAGGGAAAAGCTGGATTTCAAATTACCCTAACAGATCAGTGTGTCTTTCATTTATATTAACTGATTTTTATCTAATTGTTGGCATGTAACTCTCTCTCCTATAGCCTCAAGTATTACAGCCTTCCAGCCACCTTCCCAGTTTCACAGACCTCGCCCAGGGAAAATTAATAAAAACATCACTCATCGGGGCCCACAATGAACCAACAGAAGACCAAAAGAAAAGTGCTGGCCATGAAACTCAAAATGCTGCAGATGGCTCCTTCACCAATCGCCTAAATGAACTGAGCACTTTAAATACACAGTTAAATGTAAGAAAGTCAGAGGAGAATGCACATTCCACCAAGAATGTAAAAGTTAGAGAGAAACCTAAAGAACTGTCTGGTAGAAAATTTAATACACTACATTCGCATCCCTCTTCTCACTCATCTTCCCAAGTAAATGCTCAAGAAGTGCAGACCAAATTAGTTCTCAAAAACAATTGCTCACGGACAAACCAGGCTTCAGCGCCAAAGAGTTCAAGAGCCACCAAGACTCCTAAGCAGAATGCTTTAGTGCCTCCTCCAGTAACGGTTGCAGCAGCACCTGCAGATGGCTCTTCTGCTTCAAAGGAGCCTGAACAGCTGCCGCCAAGCCACCCAACACAACTGCAGCTGGCATCCAGTCAGTCTGATCAGAGTCATAAGAGCCAGAAAATCTCAAAGCTTCGTCCTCCAACGATTTCCTTTAGGCCCAAGCAAACGACAAATCCAAAAATCATGATGCCTCCTGAATCTCAGAATACCTGGTCCAAGACAAACCACTCAAGGCAACTAATACAAGCAAAAGAAAATATGCAGAATCAAGATTCAAACATTCATTCTGGTGACTGTGTGGCTCCTAATCGGCATTCCCGCCTCCCTAAACCAAAGACATAATTGAAATCATGACTTGCATATGAACATCTCAGTGTCCTGTATTGTAAAGCTGCTTACTCTCACCCTTTCTTGTCTCAGTCAAGAATCTTCATCAAAAGCATGCATGCACTGAATGCTTCTGTTCTTTTGGTACTTAACTGTTATAGTCTAATCTCCCTTGATTTTGTGCCATTTAGAAGTCTGTGCTATCCATTGATTGCATTGCCCATTTGTCCCCTTTTAAGATTGTTTGGCTTAATACTAAAGTTTGAAATGGCTACTGGTTGCTAAGAGTAATGCACCATTTGTTTGAGGAGGACAGGCTGCTTGCTGGAAATCCAACCCTTAGTAGTTTGGACCACTGAATGTTAGTTGGTTATGGATACACGTTTGGCTCTGACATCAACTATAAGTGATAAATTAGTTTTTTATCTTCAATCTCAGCCATAATTCTGACTCTGTATCTCAGAGACCTATGCAAAATGCTCCTATTTATTACAACAGTGAACCCAAGACTGTCTAAATGATGTATATTTGGTGTTGAATTGGGGTTTTAATTTTATGCCAGGAGGATCCCAAATTGCTGTAGTTACTTTTTGAATTTATATTTCACTGTTCACAAGCGGCAAACAAAATTTCACAGGGTGAAATGGATATTAGTTAAATTTTAAACATTAATCCACCCAAAACCTTTTCATGCAGATAGTTGTAAAATGGTATGTGCTGTGACCCTGGGAATAATGACTCCGTGACACCTGTGTTGTGGATTTTCGCAACATAACTTTCATGTTAAGATTTAACTTAATTGTAACATTATTTATTAATTTATGTTGCTGTTGCAAGTCTTATGAACCCAACTTGAAATGTTTGCACAAACCTTTGCCATAAATGTAGGGATTTGAAAATTATTTTTCATAATAAAAGGTTGTTTTTTAAAAAAATATTTTTAAAATACACAGACACACTTTGGGAAATCTTGTGGAGTCATAAGAACAGAACTGGTAGTCTTTCAGAGATTAATAATATTGCATTTGTGGCTAGTTCCTAGGTATTGAATGAAGGATGGAAAATGACTGGTAAGGGAGAAAAAACTATTAAATACTCTGTATGAAGATGGTTGTAGTTTAAATATTTATGGCGCAATGAAGTGTAAAGATATACCTGTAACTTACATTAGCAAATATGCAATAAAATGCTCTTATGAGAAACACTGCACACCCCAAAACCAAATATGTAGTAGGTTAACTCCATCTAAGTCTTACTCGAATGCCAACCAGAGAACAACGGTTAGAAGGTAGCCTTTTTAGATGCTGCCCTTTGTACTGTTAAATGAAGCAGGTGTGAGTACATTACAGTAGTAGGTTTGAATCCTTTGTTGAATGCTGTCTCAAACATTGATACTTCATAAATGAAACGAGAGCATTTGCAGCTTGGACTTCCTTTAATCCAAGAATATATGCCTCCCTCCGAAGGGATGTTGAAGACGCTTCCATAAATCAAACATGGTTCATTAGTCATAAGACTGACCAAGAATATCCTCTTAGGTTAACTCTATCTATGCACCTTAAACCTGTAAGAGCATATGTTTGTGGTTGCTGTCCTCAACTAGGGAATACTCTCATCCGCCCAAGAATTGTCAACAGCAGGAAACATTTTCAAGATGGATGCAAAGCTGGTCGATAGGAACTGCAGGGTTGTGAATTTTGCCTCCCAGCACCATACATTTTGGTGATAACTAATAGGGAAGCCCTATTATTGTAGGCTCCCAACGCAATTTAGAACCCTCTAAATTGCTTGAAGGCAGCACATGGGTCTACATGATTCCGAAGAAGTTATCCTTCAATATGTGAAGGGTCAGAATGAGGCCCGCACCCCCTGTATAACCCTTTTGCATGAGTAATGCATTAAAAGGGCTAAAGTACAACTAACTTCCTAAAGCAACACAACTTTTTTAAACGTCAGTTGCCTTTTTGTGACCAGGGATAGGGTAATACGAGGTCCTAAAATTTAAATTGTACAATGGTTTTCTCAAACCTTGAAATGGATTATAACTCAAATTCTCACACTATTCTGTTTAATTAAGGCAGACTAAACGCTTCCTTTTATATTCCATCTGTCCAAATAGTTTGATTAAATGGTTACTTAGTAGATGTGATGCTCACAGTAGATATTTTAGCATTTACAGTGGCACAGCAGTTTGTGTTACAAAAGTGTTCCTTTCTGGTTGGAGTCAAGGTGCAATTACAGCATACTCTTTGTAAAACAAATATAGCATGATCCCATATTGACATTTACAGCTGGTACTCAATGGTTTTCCAATATTCAAACATTACTGGAGCAAAAGTTATTGATGCATCTTCTTGCCCCTTTAGATAAATTCAGACATCTTGTTGAAGAAAAGAGACCAGCTGTCTTTGGTAAATGAAGTTTTAGGAATAATTTGATTATATCTTATCATTCTATATCTACCCTTATTAAGTCAATTTCAGTCCAGCTACAAAAAAATAATTTGCCAACCCACCAACATGTATAATGAGCAGTCTGACAATTTGCTCTTCTGGAAAGGAATTATCACTTGCCCAGGGCAACTACTCTAAAAGCTGTTTTCAGTTATTAAAGACCTTGCATCACATTTTAAAGCTTGGACTTTTACAGATTTCCTTGGATATAAATTAGAAATAAATTATTTATTTTTTAAAATTAATATTACTAAAATAACTGTATTCCTCAGAGCACTTAATGGAAAGTTAGCGCTAGAGATGGTCTTGGTTCTATTTCTTAGATTGCTAAAATATAGTACCTAATGAAAATGAAGTATTTTCCAAATATAATTTTAAGATTGCATGCCCCATTTAAAAAAAAAATGTCTGGCAATTTAGAAAGAATGCTGAGGATAGCGGATCGATTACATGTAAGGTTTAGATGGATAATCTAAATTGATTGTGCTGCCAGCACATGCAAACTTTGGGGTGGGCTGAGTTTGCCACTGTCGCTAGAAAAATTGAGTTGCCACACTGCCAAAGGCAATTATCTGACAGAGGAAGCTTAGCTAGGGGCTTTCACCATCATGCATTTGTCAATCTCTAAACTGGATATGTAATCTTTCCCCAAGTATGACTATATCAAAGAAAGTTACAAAGTATGTTGAGAAAGTTCAGAGTGTGAGACAAAGCTCTTTTAGGTGATGAGAGGGAAAACTGAAGGCTCATGGTGGTTTGGAGAAAGTACTATTTGGAGTGCCAGGCCTGTAGTGGGACTCTAATAGTTATATATTTCAATAAATATTAATACTTAAGGGGAAGAAATGCCATTAGTACCAATAGAGATGATTATTCTAAATGCAGATATTTAAAAATTTGGATTTTGTTTAGGTTTTTAAACATGTGCATTCTACCTTTCTGGATCCTCCTACGTTATGCAATAATTCCTAAAGTGTTAAACAGCTCCTCAAAACGTATATATATTGAAGATATCTATCTTTTAACAATAGCTGTAAAAGCGAAACAAAACTAATTTTGCACTTTATAAACTATGAGCTCCGTTGCTTGGAGTTGTGCCTAAATTTAATCTAAATGCCTGTGGTTGAGTTAGTGAAATAGTTTTTCATTATGCATTGGAATTAGAGTTTGGGCTTTTAAAACAATGGCAGCTTTCCATGGATGATGCAGCTTACAAATGCCGCCAGCCTCTTCCATTCCCTGCCACCTGTTCATTATTATCTCCAAATGTTCACTGTATCATTGTGCGTTACTGCAAGGTATTGTCCCCCAAATGCTTGTCTCACTAAGCATCCACTTATTTAATACCTAGCATTTGCATACTTTCGCTGAAAAATTGGGAGCAATTTCTTTTGAAGGAGAGGCCCCTGGAGACACCAGAACAGAGGCTTAAATACTCCACTTTGTTCTTCAAGTTTTATACGGTTCGATATGATTTTTGATCTATTAATGAAACCATGTGCAATACTAAGCACCCTCCTCCCCAAAGTTGAGTGAGTCATTTGTGTAATCAATGAGCATCAATTCTTTCAAGTGGTTCTCAGACAAACATATAACATGAACTCCCACTCCAGCTATGGTGAAGTTCAAGTTGACTGCACAGAAATCAATCCTCGGTCTCAAATGCTGGGGTTTTTTTTGTTGCTGTTCTAATGCGGCATACGTAAATAGAATGGCATTTGTGATTTCTTTTGTTCCTTGCATGTCAATACATGTGCATTCATGAAACCTTTCATATACTGGTAGAGTAATACGTCTGCGGATGAAACATAATTACTTTTTTTTTGCATAACTATCTGCATTTTTGCTAGGCACGCCTTCTTATACCATTAAAATGGATATTGGTTTTGGAATGGGGTTTCCATTTTGTCTTTGTTTTCACCTGGTTGCAATGATTCTCTGACCACCATGGGCACAATTCAGGCAAAGCTAAGCACTTTTAAGGCCTGTTGATTTCCATAGGTGAGTTTGGTTTGTGCTTGGCTCTCCCTCATTGAAATCAGTGGGACCTGTGTGCTTAATGCTGGTGAAATTTGTCCTGCTGAAACGCAATCATGGTCGTAGATCCGGGTTTCAGTCTCTTCTACAACCATGCTCTCGGAAAACTCCAAAATATTTTGATCACTGCTGTGGTAAAGCTGCTCACTGCCTACATAAATGTCAAAAGCACCACAATAAATTAATATTAACTGCAGTGTTAGTATAAAATTTGGTACTAGCTGCAAAAGTACCCTTAATACATAGTATTTCGTTAAAAAAATATTAAAGTAAATACTGTATATTGGAACTTGCTTGTAAAGATGATTTAAAAACTTGTATGTAAAGACTTTCCTCAGTGTTGCTTTAGTGAATAAAATTCATAATTCTGAACGTCTTTGTGTGTTAGCAGTCATTTGTCTGCATTTTTGTGGTTTGCTTGGGTAGATTCTGGGAGATGCAGAGTGTTCTGGATGTTAATTTTAAAATGAGCATTCTGCTGCCTAGTGATGTCAATGGAAATCTGAACAAATCACAATCCGTTGGCTCATCTGAAATCCAATGTAATTTTAGATGAACAGAATAATGGAAATAATGGGGTAGTGACAACAATGGGTCCTACAAAAATGTTTTGAACACGTCCAGTCAAAAGTTAATGCAACTGCATTCAGTCGAACTTACTCCCAAGCTATGCATAGGAATTCAGTCATGCTAATTTTAATAATCTGAGTATTACTACGTGCCCTGTTGCTTTTTGGATTGGGTGTGTAAGACTGCACAGCTGCTTACATTTTAAGACTCCTTGGGGGTAATGGCTTTGGGTCTGCCATGATGTGCTCTCTTATTTCTAAATTTACTAGTACACCACTGTGCAACAATCTTTTTAAAACGATCTTTTCGCTCATTCGGTATTAATCCTTATTGTTATTTGGTGCTATCTCGCTGTCCTCCTCAGAAGAAAATGTCTATATAATAGTTGAACATGTAAAATATTAATAGTTGGAGGGGACAAGTATTCTAGCTAATGTACTTTCCTGCTTTTTAATATTGCATCAGTTTGTGCAGTCTCTAAATGTTTCTGCAGATTGCTGCTCTGAAAGTAAGGATTTCATGTGGGAACTTGGATTTCATTGGATATAAAACACTGCAACCCAGATACACACTTTGAAGCCAACACAGTCATTTGATGGGACTTGACTTGCAGGTTCTTGAAATGTAGTATGCACTGCACTCACTCCTTGTCTTTCATAAAAAACAATGTCAGGCCTACTGTGATTTCAGCATGTGTTTCTTTAGCACCTAGCTCTGTGTAAATACTTATTTTTGTATCCACCCTTACCACATTTGTAGGCCAATGATGATGTGGTGTTTTCTCCTGAATCCTCTTAACACCTTCATAAAGTGACTGGCCAATGTGAGCGAGTTCAAAGGTACCCAGCTCTCTCTAGTCCTAACTCCCAGCATCCTCTCTACTGTACTACATGGGATATCCTCTTCCGAACTGGTACTCTTCGTCTGTAAGATACATTAGGCAGATAGTCACTTGGGCAAGGACCACTATTGAACACATATAAAGGATTTAAAGCAGAATTTCCCATGTCCAGGCCCAGCAATCAAACCGCTGCGCCCAATGGAAGAGGCAGCTTGAGGAGAGGAACTGGTCTACCCCAGCCCATAATGGATTGCAGTAAGCCCTCAGTTTATGTGGGGGTTACGTTCTGTGGATTGCTCCTAAAGCCAAAATCGCATATAGTCAAAACAAATGGGGTGCAATGGCAGTTGGGATTGCCAAAGTCTATTTCCTTGACACCCGCCCACTTTTTAATTGTAAAAGAAAAAGAAAAAGGTCAAGCACATAAAGCTAAATGCACACAAGTTAAATGCACATAAGTTACGGGCTTACTGTATACTAAATCGCCCAGAGGTAAGGATTGAAGTCAAGGCTGAGATTTGTGCAACAAACAAGAGGCAAAATACCAACTCTCTTTCCACAAATAGTAGAACTCTGAGGAAGATGGCTGCTTGCTTCCTGTTTCCTGCTGGTGTCTTCACAATGCCATTTCTGAGCTAGCCCTAAGAAGTCTGAGCTCTAATGCAGCCATAGCCCATGTGGTACAACTCCCATGATGCATGACCATTGACCATAATGGCAGGGGCTAATGGGAACTGTAGTACAACAACATCTGGAAAGGCACCACATTGGTTACCCTTATTCAAATGTTACAAATTGATTGCAGGAGAGGAAGAAAGGGAAAGATCTACTATGGCAACCTGAGTCCAACTAAATAATCAAACCAGACATCACCCCCTGGCACTCAATCCATCTCAGTTCAAGAGGAAGCTGTTCCTCCTTCACCCAGTCTTTAATCAAAGCGCCTAGTATTTAGTCCCTCTGGCCAAGCCAAGTAACTTAGTTCAATTGAGCTCCAATTACTACTACTTTTTAAACAGGAAAGAGCAGGCTGTGCTGTTGTCAGATGTGCCTCAAGCCAGGAAGCACCTGCTTTTCTCCAAATCAAGAGTGGAAAAGGGAGTGTGAGGCAAGAGAAGGTAATAGATGATTTAGAAGGGGATGAGCATGTTTAGCCTGGAGAAGAGGAGGTTAAGGGGTGATATGATAGCCATGTTCAAATATATAAAAGGATGTCACATAGAGGAGGGAGAAAGGCTGTTTTCTGCTGCTCCAGAGAAGCGGACACGGAGCAATGGATCCAAACTACAAGAAAGAAGATTCCACTTAAACATTAGGAAGAACTTCCTGACAGTAAGAGCTGTTCGACAGTGGAATTTGCTGCCAAGGAGTGTGGTGGAGTCTCCTTCTTTGGAGGTCTTTAAGCAGAGGCTTGACAACCATATGTCAGGAGTGCTCTGATGGTGTTTCCTGCTTGGCAGGGGGTTGGACTCGATGGCCCTTGTGGTCTCTTCCAACTCTATGATTCTATGATTCTATGATGTTTCACCATGCTGTTTTTGTTAATGTGGCCTTTCTTCTTCAAAGCACTGCGATGGTCTCCAGTGCCGGTGCTTCTGAATAGCATACATTTTTTGACTAGGTAGTCCTCACAAGGTGATCTTACTACAGTGGTACCTCAGATTAAGTACCTAATTCATTCCGGAGGTCCGTTCTTAACCTGAAACTGTTCTTAACCTGAAGCACCACTTTAGCTAACGGGGCCTCCTGCTGCCACCACACCACCGGAGCACGATTTCTGTTCTCATCCTGAAGCAAAGTTCTTAACCTGAAGCACTATTTCTGGGTTAGCGGAGTCTGTAACCTGAAGCGTATGTAACCCGAGGTACCACTGTACTCAGTTTTTGCAGTTTGTGTGGAATAGCCCCTGAGAGGAAAATCTGAACAGTTACCAGAGGAAGCACAATCTAGCTTCTGTTTCACACACAGAGAACCTGGGCATGACAAGGAGCAGGGTAAAATTGCCACATGAGTTTCGGCACCTCCCAGAAATTGTATAACTGCTTTCGTAGTGCCAGTGGGCAGGCTTGTTCTTTCTGTCTTCCCCACTTGTTGTTTTAAATCAAAGGTTATGGGAGAAAGAGAAATGCTTTGCTTTGGCTGTTGTGCAGCAGAGGGCACTGTGATGCAAGCTAATGGGGGAAAAGTGAATTCTAAAATGGTGTGTGAAACTCCTGCCTGTGTTAAAAACAGTTTCTTTGTGCAATGACTGGGTCCTTGACAAATGCGGTTGCTGCAGTCTACCCCTCACGTCTCTTGTTCTCACTGTTGGGAGGACCACAAATTAAACACTTAACTGTATTCTGATTTTTCTCCCCCCACTCACAATCTATTTGACAGTGAGCAGCAGCAAATTAGCTCAGCCACAACTCTTCAGCTGAAAGAAACTGTCATTACTCTGGTGGGAGGAGGGAAACAGAGAGTGATTGATAACCCAGGTAAAGTATGTTTGTAATTAGAAACAGAATGTTTATTAATGTATATCATTCATAGGCCTCATATTTCCAGCTGGTTGCATTTATAATTCATAGCTATGGGAAGAAAAGACATGGGGAGAGGGCTGAATACTGCGGGGCTGGGAGGGTTTCTCCTCACTTTGAATAGATGCCAACCCAGTAAAATCTTCATAAATCCTTCTGCAGTCCAATATAAGACTGCTGTAAATTGCAAACGTCGAGGCCAGCTTCTTCTACCCCACCCCACTGTATGTTCTACAACCAAGTTGCTCTTTCCCAGTTCCCAGAGAAGCTGCAGATTGAACATATATATGCAAACAGCATATACGTTACCACTGAATTGCACAGTTTCCCTGTTTTACAGGTGAGTAAGGAACTTGTATGAAGGTGTTGTACAAATAAGGATAGACTCATGGGGGGATACGTTGTGCTAAGATGAGAAGCACAAGCATTTCTGCTTGCCAAAGGGAGTGCTTTCCGCTCTCTTCCCCACCCTTCAGAGCAGATATGGGACAAGAAGGGGGGGGAGCCCCATTGCGCTAGCAGGAGACTTTGTATTGGCTTCTGCTAGCACAGTGGATCCAGCCTATAGAGTTGAATCCAGACTTAATTTACTCATCGCTTTCCCCAGTCGAAGAAGTCTGAAAGCAACTTACAACAAAAGTAAAATTCAAAATAATAATAATACATAGCATATAGGTAAAGGGACCCCTGACCATTAGGTCCAGTCGTGACCGACTCTGGGGTTGCGCGCTCATCTCGCTCTATAGGCCGAGGGAGCCGGCGTTTGTCCGCAGACAGCTTCCAGGTCATGTGTCCAGCATGACTAAGCCACTTCTGGCGAACCAGAGCAGCACACGGAAATGCTGTTTACCTTCCCGCTGGAGCGGTCCCTATTTATCTACTTGCACTTTGACGTGCTTTCGAACTGCTAGGTTGGCAGGAACAGGGACTGAGCAACGGGAGCTCACCCCGTCAGGGATTCGAACCGCCGACCTTCTGATCAGCAAGTCCTAGGCTCTGTGGTTTAACCCACAGCTCCATCCACGTCCCTGTACATAGCATATTGATCCTACTTAAACCAGTGGGGAAAGACAGTCATGTCTCAACTTAGTTTTCACTGAAATAAAGTTAACTTTTTAGCAGTGCCTGAAGATGGCTACAGTTACACATAAAGGTTAACTCCACATTTGGGTATGGGTGTCTAGAGATGAACATGGTAGCTCATTTTTGTCACTCTCCAACTTGTAGAGGATGACCTTACAAGCAAGGAACCTTCTGCAAAGCTCCTCGTTTGTTTGTTTGTTTGTTTGTTTGTTTGTTTTTTGAATCCTTACTATCCAGTGTTTTAAAATATACAGGGAGTGAGTGCAACAGAAACTGATGGGTAAACAAAACGACAACAAATTGGTTGGCAGAGATTGTGTCCTTGCACCCTGTTCTTCTGGGTAGATATGCATACGATT